TAATTAGTGTTCAGCCAATCCAGACCTGTCGCTTCTGGGGCAAAATTTTGGGTCTGGAAATGAACTATATTATAGCTGAAGTACAGTTACGGGAAGGGGAAGAGGAGGAGGAGGAAAGAGAAGAGGAAGAAGAGGAAACTGTTGCAGAAGAAGAGAAAGAGATGGGTGAGGGTGAGGAAGAAATGGAACAGAAAGAAAAAGAACCTGAACCACCAAAGTCCACCTATAAACCCCCACCTGAGATCCCAAAAGAAGCAAACGGGACTGGGACGAATAAATATGTCTATTTTGTCTGTAATGAGCCAGGCAAACCCTGGGTGAAGTTGCCTTCAGTGACACCAGCCCAGATTGTCTGTGCCAGGCAAATCAAGAAGTTCTTCACTGGTCGCTTGGATGCTCCTATTGTGAGCTTCCCTCCTTTTCCTGGAAACGAGGCCAATTACCTGCGCGCACAGATAGCGCGGATCTCAGCGGGAACCCACGTCTCTCCCACCGGCTTTTACCAGTTTCCAGAGGACGAAGAAGAAGAAGAAGGAGGAGATACGTATGAAGAAAACCCTGAGTTTGAGCCTCCTCCTGTGGCTGAAATGGTGGAGTCCCTGGCCATGTGGGCACACCATGTCAAGGGCATTCTGAAGCAGGTGTGTCCAGCATAGCTTGCATGGGCTTGGATGCTGCTCGCACTGCAGTGCTTGTGGGGTAACAGTGTGAGTGACACTCCTCACCTGCACATGCAAACTATTCACCAGAAATGGTGTTGGATTGAAAGATTTTTATAGAGAAAATGCATTTTATATCATATATAATACCAAAATATCTTACACATAAAACATGTACTTTTATATGTTATATAACATATAACACACATATATATAAAACATATATACATGTTATATAAGGCATAAATATCTTGCATGTATTTACATATACCATCTATTTTTATGTATGTATGTATATATATATATATATACACACACACACATATATATATGTATTTTGGAACCCTCTAGGTTTAGTACTTTTTCCAGTGATGTATGCTTCAGATTGAAACCTGTCTTTAAATAACAGTATGGAGCTAGGTCCTGATAGATAACAATCATTTTTTGCAATCTTCTGTATTAGGTGTTCTGCTCTGAGATCCTTATTTGATTAAAATGTTTAAAATTCTCTTTTGTTGGGTAGGATGCTAAAACCCAGAGAGCTTGTGGTTGTATGCTAAATGAAATTTACATGGTGTTTTCCTCTGGTTAATTTTTTGTTTTATACTTTCTGCTGTGAAACATTTGAATGAAAAAAACTTTAAAGCATGTTCTATCAGACTAGTGCTAGAAAGAGGTATTACTAATTTGGTTTTTATTGCTGGATGATTTGATGGCCAGTCTACCAATTCAAGAATGCTAGTGTAAAATAACAGCAAATTATAGGAAATAAGATTTAAACTTACTACCAGCAAAACAGTAGTTGTAAAAAATAAAATTAGTATGCAGTAGAATCTTAAGAACATTTTGTTACATTTCTCTGACTGGCAGCCAAATAACAAGGCATATTTTAAAAAGAAGGAATCAGTCCATAGTTTGCAGTAACTAGTAATCTAGCAAGGATATAAACCAAACTGGCCAGGAACTGAAGAATACAAAATGGCAAAAAGCTGATGACAGCACTATAAGGTTATTCTCAAACAGTAAGCAGGAGTGAATGAGGGGAACATTCTGCTAAGAGGATACAATATTTTGTTAACAATATTCCAGTTAAGGAATATGTATTTTTCTTGTCCGTATCCCTTAGTTGTGTGTGAGTCTGAGCCAATTGTTTTAACTAGTTTTAACTTGCATTCTTTCAATGATTGTTACATGTATTTATTACTTTTCCACATCAATTATAGGGTCGCTGTGTTTGGATTAATCCTGCTCAGAAATCAGAGGAAGATGAAGAAGAAGGTGAAGAGGAGGAAGAGGAGGAGGAAGAAGAGCGCCAGGAAGAAACAGGACTACCCCTTCTTACTCTGATCTCTGAAGATGAAGGTATTGTTCATGGAATATGAAGTTTATGATAGAGAGTAACTAGGAATGTTGTCATTTAGCAATAAATATTTGAAGTTAAACTCTGACACTTCTTGGAGCAATATACTTTGCCTCTCTAGGGTAAACACGTTCTTTCACAAATCAATCAAAACCAGAATGGTTAACAGTATTGACATTAAAGCTGAAATAATCAGGTTTACTAGGCAACCATCTTGTTGAGATTAAAAGGAAAAAATAATTTAGACTTGTCATGTTATTGCAAGTTCAAAACAGCTTACTACATGAAATACACTCAGCTATTTTTATCTCATCTTTTTAGGAAAAAAGAAAAATGTATGTTTATTTGTAAGTAAATGGAATAATTAATATGTACACACATACAGTGATATACGTTACTTGTATAAGAATTTAGATCTTTTAAGATATCACTGCAGCAAATCACGGGAATAAGGGAGCCGCAATATTAGATTACATCAATATTTGATTATTTGTCTACTCTCCATTCTTTAATCAAGGTGAAATATAGCTATACAATTTATCTGCTAGTGATAGAAAGTCCTTGACAAAAGACCCAGGGGTGAATGCTACTGAATTTTTTCTGTACGTGGGGGGGTCAATCAGCATCCTTGTGCAACCTACCCACGCATGCAAACTCATGTTGGAAAATAGTGCCTACACTTAGTGTTTCTGACTTCTGGCTCTTTCTGTCGTGCAACTTAACATAAACCTTGCTTGAATTCTGTGCAAGTCTTGTAGCTCAGTCATAAGTATTTTGTAGAGGCTCGTCAACTTCATTTATTCATAGACAGTATGTGTTTGGCTGTCTCCAGGCATGAAAAACATCCCTGCTTGGACAGCTCAGGCTTCTACAAACCTGATCCCAGAATATTCAATTGCAATCCTGCAGTCTAACCGATGGCCTGGAGCTTATGCCTTTGCATCTGGCAGGTGAGAGTCCCCCTGACATAGTTACAACACTGACTGTATGTGCTACACACAGGTGCCTCTCTAATGCAGGCAGAGTTACTTTATTATTAATTCATTAACTGAGTTCCAGCTATTCCAGAGACTGATGGAGAAGGCCACCTAAATATGCACAGCAATAGTAAATAGGTATTTAAGACTGAAAACAATTAATTATTGGAAAGGCTGGCATAAAGTTAACGGATGTAAATGCTGAATTAGTATTTGAGCACAGTCCTTGATTTAAACATATACTCTTGTGTTTGTGAGACTTTTTACAAAACCAACTGCATTCTGTGGTTCTAATGTTTGTTTGCTTGCACTACACGTGGTTATTACCTCCATGTAGATTTCCACGACACAGTCATTCCACTACACTGTACTGCAGTGCAGTGACACTTCATCATTTTAAACAGAAGATGTATTAATAACCATTAGGGCAGTTAAAAAGAGGTGCTGTGCTTAAAATTCTTCTGCTATAGGATATCTGCACCACAGTGACTCCTTGCACAGCAGAGTAAGGATGCCTGATGGTCTCTCTGCTAATATTTTGCCAGGGGGTGAACATGTGATCTGTCACTTCTCTTTCTCAGGAAATTTGAGAACATCTACTTTGGCTGGGGTCACAAATACAATCCAGAAAGCCACACTCCTGCGCTGCCCCCACCAGCAGAAGCAGAATTCCCCATTGAGCCAGGAATCACTGAGGCAGCAGACCCCACTGTGGAAGAGGAGCTGGCTTTCAAGGCTGCGCAGGAAGAAGCCTTAGCCGAAGCTGAGGAAGAGGAAGAAGAGGAAGGGGAAGATGATTAAAATATGGAAGAAAAAAGATTGTTTTAAAAGTTTGAACATAAAAAGAGTTTTCATAACGTAGTCATTTTTTTGCTGACCTCAAAAGAAATTATTTTTGAGTGTGCCTTCTTTTTTGACTTCTGTAGGCTTTTCTTTGCAACTAGATTCCTCTCCTTCCCCACCCCTAAAGCTGTCCACACTGGCATGAAAGCTTTTTCTGTTTGTTTGACTAAGCAAACATAGTCTGCTTCCTAAAATGATGCTGCTTTGAACAAAGAACTACCACCCACAAGATGTTCACACTGTTTTTCTAGCCCTCACTTCAATACGTATATACATTTTACTTAAATAAACCTTTTTTTAAATCCCATGACAATGTCGCTCTTATGTGTAAAAGCGTACTATTCAGAGTCAGTGGGCAGCCTGTTGAGGCACTGGGGTCTGAGTGCACGGCAGTGATACCGCTCATCACTGACATTGGGGGCTGCACCTCCAATCCTGGGCTCAGTTCTCGGCGCCTCGCTGCAAGAGACATGGAGATGCTCGATCGCATGCAGAGAAGGGCAGTGGAGCCGGGGAAGGGTCTGGAGCACGAGTCCCGTGAGGAGCGCTTAGGGAGCTGCGGGTGTTTAGCCTGGAGGAGAGGAGGCTCGGGGGAGACCTCATCCCTGTATACAAGTGCCTGACGGCAGGGTGTAGCCGGGTGGGCGTTGGCCTCTACCCCTCAGTCACAAGCGACAAGAGGAAGCAGCCTCAGGTTACACCAGAGGAGGTTCACACGGTAGATTAGGAAAAAATCCTTAATGGAAAGGACTCCCAGCCTTGGGACGGCTGCCCAGGGAGGCGGCGCAGTCACCGTGCCTGGGGCTGTTTAAAAGGCCGGCAGCTGTGGCTGTGAGGACAGCGTTCGTTTCTCCGGCCGCTGCCATCAGGCAGACGGGGGGGGGAAGGTGTCTCAGGAGAGCTCGGGGGCTGCTCACCCGTCTGCTCCTGGCCGCGCTTCCCTAAGCCGCCCCCCCGCACCTCCCCGCCAGTTCGTGCGAGTGGTGCGCTCCACGCACAGCGTGCGTCCCTCGCGGCCAATAGGGAGCGGCTGCAGGCGCCGTTCAAACTTCGGCGGCGGTTGGGGCGGGTGCTCCCGGCTCCGTCCCTTGTCCTGGCCTCGCTGGTCCCGTTCTCGCTCCGTCCCTTGTCCCGGCCCCGGTGCTCCTGTCCCGGGTGGGCATGGCGGACGAGGGCGCCGTCACGGTGTGCGTGCGAGTGCGGCCGCTCATCTCCAGGTGAGCCGGCAGGGGAGGCTCCCTCCGCAGCCCTGGGTGCCGCCGTCCCCCACAGCTGGGCAGTTCGCGGTAAGGGGTCCGCGTTTTGGGGGCAGAGTCCTCGCCCAATAAACGTAACACAATGTTTCTTCTTTTAGAGAAAATGCCTCAGATAAAGTGTCCCTGCACTGGAGAAGTGAGAATAATACTGTTTCCGACGTGAGTGGTACCAAAACATTTAGTTACGGTAAGAATGTGAAAGCAGTTGCTTTACGAAGATGCTTATGCGGAACTTTGCTACTGTTCTCTTCAACGTGCAGACTGTGGTGAATGCCCTGAGCTTCTTGAAATGCCCCCCAACCTTCCCAGCTTCATAATGCCCAAGGAGGGTCATTGGGGCACACAGGATTTCCTGGTGCAGGCAGCACTGGGATGTGCTTTTGACGTCAGCTTCCTGATGGACCTTACTTTCTCTGTTCTGGTTCATGCCATATTGGCTTTGGAACACATTTTATTGATCTGGAATCCAGTGACAAGTGGACTAAACAAGGGCTAGTCCAGAGCATTTAGGGGGAAGGGTATGGGAGAACACAGTCCCAAAAGTGACTAGTGTCAATGTGGGATCCTCATAACTAGCTGGCTCCCTTTGAGTCTTTTCCTACTGATCAACTCTACTTGTTAATATGAGCGTAGCCACTAGAAATATTTTTCACAAAATACAGATTCAGTAAAAGCATGCTGGAGGCTAGGAGTTCAACAATTAACCTGTCTTGTCAGGCTTACCATCTTTGTAGATAAATTAGCCAAAACCTTTTAGGATTAAATAGGATGACTGTTTAACTGTATTCATCATTCTTAGGGTTTTTTAACTTGTCTATTATCTGTGCATTGTGTCTTTTTTATTTTGTGTTTAATATTTATTTTAAAACTAAATTTTAAAAGCTTGCATTAGTGCTACTACGATGATATTTATATTGGAGCTAACCTGCAGATGATTATGCAAATGTACTGGATTTGAAGTCAGCAATACTGATTGACAGCTTGTTTTGACTTGCAATAGAGTGGATTCACATCCTTTTTTTTTTTTTTTTGTTTTTAAGATCGTGTCTTTCACTCAAGTGACAACACTCAGCAGTTGTATGATGGTGTAGCTGTTCCAATTATACAGTCAGCTGTGAGAGGCTATAATGGTAAGTTTTGAAACTGTTTAAAAAACTTTTGGAATGTATTTCAGAGATACTTAGTAAAACTTAACTATCTTTCTAGGCACAATTTTTGCTTATGGACAGACTGCTTCAGGGAAGACTTACACAATGATGGGAAATGAAGATTCTGTGGGTATTATCCCTAAGGCAATTCAACATGTGTTCAAAATTATTTGTGAGGTGAGCAATTCTATTAAATTGAAGTGACTGAAAGGGCTAGTAATACTTGTGATGGTTACATAATAATTAATTTTAGTATCAAGAGGCTTATGAAGGAACTTAACTTATATTGGACTAAATGTAGCAGTTACTTTGCCAGCCTGGCAAAGAAGAGCCAGGCTCATCTTTTGTTTTCAAACAAAAAGCTGATGGGGACTCTATTAGTTAAAATCAAATCAGAACAAAACTGAGGAGTGTTCTGAGACATGAGGAGTCAAAAACTTAACTTTGAGTAGAACCTTAACCTTCCAAATATGTAAAACTGATTACAAATACAAATATGGACTTGTCAGGACCCAGGACATCCCTCTGGCTGTCCTGAGCAGCCAAGACCCCTGCCAGGGGTCTCAGAGACCCTGGCACAGAGCCCAGAATGCCTGTGGTTTTGATTATGACCTGTGAAGCAAATGGCCAACCTTATATGAAGACCAGCAAGCCACAACAGTTTAGGTAGAATAACAGTGAAGTTATCACAGGGTGGAAAAGTAGATTTTAGGGTTTTTGGTATGGGGATTCAGGAGGTAAGATGGAGGGAACTGGGCGTGTGCAGCCTTTCTCCTTCTTCTTCTTGGCCTCCATCTTCTGCTGTGATGCTGGCAGTTACAGATTGGTTTAGAGTAGAAGCTCACTGTCTAACATAGGTGATGGGTATTGGAAAGCAATTGTAAACATTGTACACGTAGTTTTTATTATAAAGACATAACACTGCCCTGGGGGCAGGCAGAGTGCCTTAGGCTGGCTTGCTGAGCTGACCTTGGCAGGCCAGGAGAAATTTTTTATACATAAGATAAAATAAACAACCTTGAGACCAAGAAATGAAGAGCCCTGACTCCTTCAAGCACCGGGCTGGGAAAAGAGACTTTGAACGTCTCTCAGGGTCACTCTGACACGCTAATGATCCCGACAGGGACTCACTTATTAATGTGGTAGATAAGATAATGTGAAGCTTTGTGGTTATTCTGGTATTTTAAAAGTCTGAAAAACTAACAATTAAAGACTTTTTTTTTTTTTTTAGTGGGAAGACTATGACACTATATTTACTTATTTCAGGCTTACGAAAGAATTGCTAATTGCTCAATATTAATAAGAGTAAGGAGAAAGTGTACATTAAAACAGTGATTTCTAAAACATGATTTGCAGAGTGCTTGCTTCTGCCTAGAGGATTTCAGGTAGTTGTTACCAGTGAAGTGAAATGGTCACTGCTCCTTTAAGGAGGTGCAGAGTATCCTTAGAGGGTTTATGGAAGTAACTAAAGGCAAGAAGATTTTTCTGGAGTCCATTGTGCAGCCTTTCCTCATTCCAACATTCTCTACCAAGGAGGCAGGGGAAGAAGCAGCAGCAGCAAAGTAAATCCAAGCAAGCAAAGCGAGAGGACAAGGTTTACAGAGAGGAAAGAGCCTAAGCAGGAGGAAATTGGTTATGGAAATGGCATTTAAGTAGGAGAACTACTGTCATGCTTCTGTTGGGCAGTTAGCTTAATTTAATAACCTTAGAAGTGGTATACCATTAATGCAGCTGGAAAGAGGTGAGATAGAAGAAAAATTATTCTGTCTTGTTTTATGCTAATGTATAGCAAGGATGAAGGGAAAGAAATCTCTGAAACAATATCCAAACTTTTATCTCAAATTTAAGAGTATTTGTATTAAAAGATGTCCATCAGTTAGTCTGTTAATTTGTTTGATTTTTCCCCCCCCCCCCCCCCCTTTCAACATTAGATTCCAGACAGAGAATTTCTGCTAAGAGTGTCATACATGGAAATCTACAATGAAACAATTACTGACTTGCTTTGCGATAATAGGAAAAAGAAGCCCCTGGGAATTCGTGAGGATGTTAATGTAAGTGGATGTTATGTATAAGTACTGTATCTGCTTGGAGTAAAAGAAGTTTGGAAAAAAAGCCTTCAGAAGCACCCAGTGGAAAACTTTTCTAGGACAAACTGTGTAATTGTATCTTCAGCATTAGTGGAAGAACATTTGATGTAGCAGAATAACAACAGTGACTTTGGGTTTGCTATTGCTAATTCATCTTTGTAAATCTTTATAAAAGTAGACTTAATCCTCAAGGTTTCCAGGATGATATATTTTATTTAATTTTGACAGTAAAACCTCAAGAATTGTTTAGTTAAGCTCTGTGTGTTTCAAGTTTCTGACAGATATACAGAGGTTTACTTTAATATCATCTTTGTATCATCTAGCAAGTGGTATACTGCTGTGATCATAGAATAACCATGTGACTAGAACTATTCACTAAGATGATCACTATAGAAAAAGAAATCTGTATTAATGCCATCTTCAGTTTCTTTATAATGTAAGGTTTTGTAGGAAATAAAGATTGTTGGTTTGGGTTTTGGGGTATTTTTTCCTTTGGCTCCCTTAAATGGTCATGGTTTTGGAACATAGGGAGAAGGGAAATTTATCAGTTGTATAATACGTTCTTATAAGAATTACTGAGAAATATACTTCTAAATTCCCTCAGAAAATGACAAGGATATTTCACACAACCCTTCTGTTTTTAGGAAACTTTCTAAATCTATTGTTTGATTCTCTAGACAACAGTTGCCTTTGACAATTTTGGTCAAAGTCTAAACTTTACCCATCCCTTGTGTTTAGAGAAAAAAGACATTCAGCTGTTGAATGAATACCATAATAATTGCTGGTAATGTTTACTTTATGTATTGAAGTGTGTTTTGGAGTTCAGTAAAATTTATTCATGTGCTTATTCTGTAGAGGAATACATATGTAGAAGATCTGATTGAAGAAGTGGTGGTTGCCCCAGAACAAGTTATGGAATGGATCAGAAAAGGAGAAAGTAAGTATTTAGACAATGGCAGCTGATAGCATTAAAAAGTTTTGGCTAATCAGGTATACTTAGAACCATGGGATATCCCTTTGGCTTTATATTCATAAACCAAAGTTTTTCAGAGAGTTTTAAAATTGTGCTTTTTGTCTATCAGATTATAAGCAGAAGTATTCTAATGTTGCTTTTTGGCAGGAAATCGCCATTATGGAGAAACAAAAATGAATGAACACAGCAGCCGTTCTCACACTATCTTCAGAATGGTAAAAACTGCTTCACTACTGGGAGTGGTTTTATTGTTTTCAAAGTAACAAAAACTTCATTGCACTTCATTGTATTTCTAGATCATTGAAAGCAGAGAACGAAGTGACCCTGCAAATGCAAACTGTGATGGAGCAGTCATGGTTTCCCACTTGGTAAATATCTATTTAGTACCTTCTTGGAGTACAGATTAACAAGAGAATTTGCTGTTACTGCTTGTTTGAGAGACTAATGGTACTTCATAATGTCTTACAAGAGCTCTTTGTTGTTAACTCTGACAGATGTTTCTTAAGTATAGAGGGAGACTCCTGTGGCATTATCTAGAGCAGATGTTCCCACCAGAGGGAGTTCTACATGAGAATTACTCATGCTGGATTGGGTAGTGTTATGTGTTATGATCTTCTTGGAGCATAAGGGACTATGTCAGAGTGCTCTTGCATTTTGTTAAATAAATCTTCCCTACAATTGTTTCTGACCACTGACAAGTCCAGTGAAATAACCTGTAAAATGGGTAACCTTAAGACTTCCCTTATCCTCAAATTTAGTTTCTTGTTAAAAGAACATATGGCCTACATCTGCAACGGCCAAAAGATTAATTTTTTTCAGCAGTAACACCTCTTAGCATCTCTGTGGTCTATGAAATACCACAAACTGGGGGGAGTACCACTGGACATATCTAGAGTAATGTTAAGCCTTTTCTACAGCCTTTTCTTGATTCTTATAAAATTATCTGAAACAACAGGAATGGAACCAATATGAAACTATTTGAGCCTGCTAAAATCTGATGAGCACTCTTACTCAGAATTGGAAATAGCATTAAGTTAATCACATGCATTGTGGAGAGAGCTTTCTGTTCTGGCTTCATGTGAAAAAGATCTGGGGTCTGAGTGTAAACACTGCTCGTGCAGTATCTCAACAAACTAATACCTACTTTTTGTGCTTACCATAACTTAGGGTATCCACTCTTTCTGCTCTGCCCTTCTGCCCCATCTCAGTTCCAACTGACTTTACAGTAACCATGAGTAACAGGGGTGATGGGAGAGGGATTTTGGCCCTCTTGGTCTGCTGCTGCTTAGTGGAGTTAGTACAGGATTTTACTCCTCTGAAGCAAAAATTAAAGTGAGGGCTAATTGCTCATTATGGAGTGCCATAATGTTCTAGTTGGCTTTTAACCAGGTTCAGAGTGAGGCTTTTCCTCTGGTAGTTCATTTATTTTCCTTATCTCCACAATGATAGGCAAGGAGAGACACACAGCCAGCTCAGGACAGGACACTAGATCATCTCACCTAGGCTCTTTCCCATGAAAGATTCCTACAGCTGGATTAGTAGTTAATACTTCTGTATTGAGAAACTGTTTCTCTTTTTGCGACCAAGGGTAGAGGTTGTTGCACTGCGAGTTTGAAGCACTATTTGGGGTGGAATAATAGAGTTCATACAAACTTACTCCACACCCTTATGTACCTTTGAAAGTATTGGTTGTGTGCAGTAGCTATGCATTAATTCCAGTAATGACAGACACTTTACTTTTTTTTTTTTTTGAAGGTTAACTTTAGTTTATGAAATTCTTAGCAGAGATTTAGAATTATGAGGACTTAAAGTGAATTGCCTCAGAACTAACCAGTGAAATATTTAATGCATTTGCAGAACTTGGTAGATCTGGCAGGCAGTGAAAGAGCTAGTCAAACAGGATCTGAAGGTGAGTATTAAATGAGGCTCCACTGACAACAAAGTCTGTTAATTAACCCCTGTGAGAAACTATGATAGGAAATTATTTGATCCATGTGCTATTATGTTATTTACGGTTTATAAATAAGGCCTTTTCCCCTTGGTAGGACAGGATCTACTCAGGAAAATACTGTAAATGCTGTAAAGTGCAAACAGTTAAACAGTAATATGCCTTTTCTAGAATTGCAGGCCCAGCAACAGTCCTGCACTGAGCTAATACAATGGGGATGACTGAGTGAAGATGCACCTGTAATAACAAAATCACAATAAGCTTTTTAGGGACCTGTGTGTCAAGGTGAAGAGGGAATAGATGGCTCACTCTTTAGTTGAGAGGAAGCTCCTCTGTTAACAGTGACAGCATGAAGCTGCACAAAAATGCCTTCATCAGAAAAAAGTGATCTGAGAGGGACACAAGTAGTAGTCTCTCTCACAGAGTGACTAACCTAAAACTTGTATCTAAGTCAGGTATGTTGTATGTGTAAATGTGGGCATTTGCAAAATTTAAACAGGAAGCAAAATTGTAGTTCTTATGGCCTCAGATGCTTACTCTGTAAAAGTTCCAAATGTTTATTTTTGGTTACTGTTTTATTTCAAAATTTGGCTATCGTATTTATTTTGGCTATCATAAAGGATTGGGTACTGCCTGCTACTGGGTCAATAGTGCATTGTGGCACTTAAGGTTTAACTCTTGGACAACCAATCCCTCTGAGCATAACATAGAACAAAAGCTTGACAGGTTGCAAATGTATCTTAGTATTGTTATAAATTTAAAATAGTCCTAATAAAATGTGTGGTACCTAGGTGTTCGACTGAAGGAAGGCTGCAATATAAATCGGAGCTTGTTCATTCTGGGTCAAGTTATCAAAAAACTTTGTGATGACCCCTCTGGGTAAGCAACTGTTTGTACACCTATTATAAGATAAGGTGCTGCTAAACTAAGCACCTTAAAGTAAATTAAAATCCTTTCTTTATAACCTTATGTAGATAACTGTTTCACATAACCTATTACCTCTAGAAAATGTATTTATCATGTTTATGCAGAAATCTGACCTGTTTTGTTGTTGTTGCCTCTTTTTTATTAGCTTCATAAATTACAGAGACAGCAAGCTGACTCGAATTCTGCAGAACTCCCTTGGAGGAAATGCTAAAACAGTTATTATTTGTACAATTACTCCTGTTTCTTTTGATGAGACACTCAGCACTCTTCAGGTAAAGCTTCTCACCTCTTCTCCAGCACTAGTAATTGTAGACAGGTTTAAGGAGTGGAAATGTAATATGCTGGATCTTTAATGACTTGGTTCTTCAGAAGGGCTTCTGTAAACTCAGAATTTGAAATACTTTTTTGTACACAGCATCTTTTCCCAATCATCTTGTGCTAGGTTGTCTACCTAGAGCTTTTTGAAAGTTGGAACTTCCAAAACTCAAAGCTCCTTCTCTCACTTTGCAGGCAGGAGATAACTACTTTTATCTCATTTGCCTTTTCCAAACCTAGTTAGAGAAGTCTTTGCTAGCACAAGATGTTAGGCACTACAGGAATTGAACTGTTAATAAACAGTATACATTCTGTAGGTAGGATTGTCCCCCTTTTTGATGATCTTTTGAGATTTTTATTAAATAAAATAACTTGGGATACTCTTACTTGTTATGCCTCACGTTTTAGATATTAATATCAAGAAGGGAAAACTTCACCTTTTCAAAGCTTAGAAGACATTAAAAATAAGCTAATTCAAATATTTGTGTCCTATTATATGTTGCTCTTTATCTAATAAACTCTCCTTTTAATTCTGTTGGGAAATATGGGACAAAATAAGTCTTTAGATATTTGTTCTTCAGCTATTATCCATGAAAGACTGTTCTTCCAGTTTGCCAATACAGCCAAAGGAATGAAGAATACACCAAAAGTCAATGAAGTTCTTGATGATGATGCCCTCCTGAAAAGATACCGCAAAGAAATTCTGGACTTGAAAAAGCAGCTGGAGGAAGTATGTAATAAACTTAAATAAATCAATCCTTAGTATTGATAGCTATTTGGAGACTAGCTGTTTTAAACCAAAACCAGTTAAATTTGGAGGAGTAGGTGAACTCTTTGAAGTGGTATTTGCCATTTTTATTAAGAGAATAAAAATTGAATAGGTGATGAATAGTCTAGAACAACTAATGATAGTCAACATCTGTGTGCAGGCTAAGGCTGAATGAGATCAACTGACAGAATTGTTAACTGGTCACACCTAATTAGTTGGTTAACATAATTAAGAAATAGAAATTTGTGATGCCTTATAGCACACTTTAACTGATCAATAGAAATAACAAATCATATAATTAATGATCAAAACAAATCATATAACTAATTAATCTAAGAAGTGATTGAATGTCTAAGATCCTAGTTTCATATTATTTCCTTCCTTACTGATGTCTAACTTCAGTTTGAGTTGCAGGAAGTTGCAACTGCATGAATATCACTGGCAAAATTTAGGTCATGTATAGGTGGAAGTTGCATTTAGAAAATGAACAATAGCAACATCTCACCAAACAATGTAGTCTTTGATGTTTTTCCTTCTCTAAAAATCTATGGAGCTGCGAAAGAATCTTGCAAGTCTTGTTAGACCACAGATAATAAAACAAAGCACAGGAAAACGACAGTGCTGACTGTACTGTTCTAGTGCATTAAATCAAAGAATCCATGTTTTTTGTTGTAAACTATAAATATCATTAGAAAAAATTTTTAGAACAATTATTTCTTATTTTTAATGATAATGCATTTGCAACATGAACTTGGGAGTATGTTTTGTATCTTCTGTGATAGCAGGTAGCAGTTATTCTTGGGAGAATGCTCTTTTTATACCTAGAAAAATCTGAGGCTGTGTTGTTTCTGGGAGTTTTGACCACTTTTAAATACTAAGTCTACAGTCAAAATGTAGACTTAAACTACAGACTAAACTGTCGTTTTCATTCTTAAGGATTAAATACTTCTCTTCCAGACTTAAAGGAGTATATGTGTGTAGTTGTTTTTAAGTATCAGTAATTGTGTATCTTCTGTAGGAGTGATTTCTGCTCTTAAGATGTCAGTGTGATTACTATTCCCTTTTTGGAAGGTGTCTTCAAAAACTCAGATTCATGCAATGGAAAAGGACCAACTGGCCCAGCTGTTGGAAGAAAAAAATTCTCTTCAAAAAGTACAGGAGGACAGAATACGAAACTTAACTGAGATGCTGGTGACTTCTGCTTCCTTTGCCTCAAACGAGAAAGTTAAAGTAAGCACCTGTTCAGATCTTAACCTGATAACTCTGAAATACTTCGCAAAAAGTGACATTACATACATAGGTTTATACTGACAATGAAGAGTAAGTGTATGATGGGTGATTTTCACTCTTTTTTCATATTTTTAAAGGGCTAGTTTTTAAATTCTGTCAATTCCATGTTGCCTTGTGGTGAATAGACTGCAGGGACTTTTTTTGCTTTCCAACTAATTTTGAGGAAATGGCAAAATGCTGTCTAGTTAACTGGTGATACAGGTACTGATACAGAGCTAGCCTGAGGCAACAGTTACTCTCTGCCTAGTGGTTTGGTTTTATCCTTTTTTCTGTAAATATTTTTTTAAAGGCCAAGAGAAGAAGAAGAGTTACTTGGGCTCCTGGTAAAATAAACCAGGCAAACGTGAGCTTTTTTGAAGACTTTGAAAATGCAATGCCAACTGAAACAAAGAAAATGAAGTTGTCTCTGCCAGCAGTACCAGATGTGGAGGATTGTAAGTAACTACATGGTCTTTGAGGTCCTATCCAACTCAGACCATTTTATTTCATTTTCTGTAGAATTCCCAATAAATAGCTTTGCAAGCCCTGCATTACATTTCCCAAAGGGAATAAGTTGATCCTTTGATAGCACAAATTAAAAAACAAAGTAACCAGACTCCAAGGGTTGATGTACACTTTTCAATGAAAAGTGCTTCTACTACCCCAACTTCACTTGATATTGAGCATTTAATTCTTTAAACCAAAGGGGAGAGCTGTGAGGTAAATGGCAGGGTCTATGAACACTTGCCATGCAGCCTTCCCACACCCCCTAGTATTTTGGGAAAGTGTTCTTTAACAGACTATCCATTTCAACCCATGTTCTCTTCCCAAAAATGGAGAGGTGTGTGTAAAATCCCCCAATCCTAAACAAGAATAGGAAGTCATTACTCAAAAGTCAGGTTGAGACAGAGAAATTCAAGGATTCATAAGGAGTGAACTGAAAATTGGAAAAGAAATTTTCTAAGAAGATTGAACTGAAGACAAGAGTACAATTTAGCAGTATTGTTGCTGAATTACATCTTACATCCTTATTACCTCTCCTGTCAAACATGTATTTGCTTGTAAGTGGATTGTTCTGGGCTTTTTTTTTCTGTATGAGGGTGGGGTGCTTTTTTTCCTTATATCTTGCAGGGTATTGTTGAGTGGTTCTTTCCTTGTCACTCAAACTTCTCCTAGTCTGTACTTAAGCACATATTCTGGATTTGATTTAGACTTCGTGATGAGATGGTCAACATAAGCGTAGGGATTGGACTTCAGTGGTGTTCCCTTTCAAAACAGAAAATCATGAGAGTCAGAAGTCTTACCTTACTCAGTGTGCTGTGGTTTTGCCATTGAATGATTGTTTCCAATGTGGTAAAATTATTTTAGGAGAAAATTTTTGATGCTTAGTTTAAAATCTACTGGTACTTTTGTAATACATCTTTCTTTTCAGCTACCTTAGAGAATTCTGGGTATGACAGCCATTGCCTGATGGTTCCTGATCAAATTTCAGAAGAAGATTGGATTGCTGGTCCTAACATGAATTGGGTAACATCATAATCTGTTTTGACTTTTGGATACTTCACTTATGCCTAATATGCTTCTCAGTAATATCAGCCTTACTCTTCTGTAGAACAGCAGTGTTCTGTGTCTGCAGAATTATTGAAACTGGCTAGAAAGTCTCTTGGAATCTCTGTGAAGCTGTGGTATGGTTCTGTGCTTCTCTGGGTTTGTGGCAAATGATCCAGTCAACGTTGGTCTTCAAACAGAATTAGCTATGTGCAAAGACAAGCAACAAGGAATATAATAGTCCACTTGCTTGATCTTGTAGATCTGCTAACTGAGGGTGTTTCTTTTTCTAGACCCAGAAAGACTTTGAAGAATCTGTGCAACTCTGTGAAGCATTAGCACTAGAAAAGGTAGGTCTGTTCTGAATTTTCTAGAAATAAGGCTGGTATTGCAGAAACAGCTTCTAAAGTTTCTTGTGCCACTTCTTCAGGATATTGCTGTAAATGAGGTCAACGTCCTGCAAGCTAACTTTGATAATCTAGTGCTGGAAAATGAGCAGTTGAAGTCAGAAATAAATGAACTAAAAGAGAGACTGAAGGAAAAAGCAGAAATAGATGAATTTGAAGCACTGGAAAAGCAAACACAAAAAGATCATGAGGTAAGGTGCATTGAAATAGAGACAGATGAATCCTCTATGCCCAAATCCTATCTGGAGTTTATTCAATGTACATGGCCTTGCATGCTGATTCACAAACAGATGGCGTTATAAGCTACATTCAGCAACAGAGTGAATGAATGAACCCAGGATTTAAACTGGATTTACCTGGAGTGTAGAATTCAGACAAATTTTTGGAGACTTACATACTGAAGCCTGGTTAAACATGAATTTATGTGTATATGTATATGTTATTTTTATACATCTGTGATCTGAATTTCACTCTAAACTTCTGTGTGGCAGTTATTTTGCTGCTTAAATACATTTTAGAACTGTTTTGAAGTTCAGGTATGGTTGCTGAACCGTATTTCCTGTATTTCTTGTGTGAAACATCTTGTCTTAAATTCCAAGATATTTCATTTTGGTAATCCATGAACTACATGAGCATTAACTTTGAACATATTATTTAGCTTAGTCATGAAATTATTTTAAAACAATAGTAAGAATTAGCAATAGTAAAAGCAAACATTGTATTTTGTGCCAGGAAGACAAAAAAATGTGATGTTATCTACTAGATAACTTAGAATATAGGAAATGCTGACTTTCAGTTCTCTTCACTTTTTGTGTGGTTACTAGAGATGTTCCTTGTTTATCCAAATGTTTATGCTCTGATACTTATAGCCTAAGATACTTATTACTTGTATTAGGTTCTACCTGCCTAAAGGCTGGACTGTGAAATAAGTTATGGCAAAAAGAACCCCAGACAAAACCAGTAACTTGAGGTCTTGAGACGTGGATGTATTGTTCCATTTCTTTCCTGGTACCTTTCTGGACATTACTTGTGCACATTAGTCTGTGTAATATCTTCTGATCATGACACTAATGCTGAAGTTTGTTACATCCTTTTGCATTTTTATTTCAGGCTACAATTTTAAAATGTCACTGCTTATTTGCATTGTGTTCCCTACAGTGATTTACAGATCTTAAAGAAATTGGCTCTATAAAATATTACCATTTAGCTTGTATTTAAGATTCTATTTAGAAGACCCTTTCTATGTGCTATCTTCCTTAGCTAATGTTTAACAAATCCTAAGTTAGTTTTCCCTGCAAAGTTTTTGGGTATGTAATAGACACCGAAACCCAAAGTTTTTGGGTGTCTAAAGTAGCTTCCATTGCAAGAACTGATTTTTAAATTATTTGTTTGCAGATATCTGATGACAGTCCATAAAATGTAAACATTTATTGATACCCATGTAGTAGATTACTTGTAGCAATATGGATAGGTCACATACATTACCAAATACATTAGATTAAATATATCAGTTTATACAGGTAAACAGCATAGGAATGCTCACAGGAGGGTGCTTGTTTTAAAGCTTTTCACTAATATTAAATTTGCAGATTGAATTTTCTTACCTTTGCTTGTGACTATACATAAGTACTTGTAGATGAGTGCTTATTGTAAAACTTTCCTAACAAAGACCAATAGAAAGAAATGGAAAAAGCTCCTAACTGAACTTCTATATGTGGCTTCTTTCAGAGAATGCCACTGAATGTGTTCATGGCTTGTTTAATTCCATTTTGGCATCTTCTCACTTCTGTCAGTGAATAGATTAAATCATAAATATGTGCACTGTGTCATAAAAAGCTGCTTAGCATGACTGGAATTTGACGTGTTGTATCTGTACAATTTCTGCATTAATTGCTTTGATCACATTGCTCTTGCTTGTCAAACTATTGCAGATTAAATTGTACTTGAATCCTTTCTAATTACTGGGGAGCTAAAACACAGAGCTTTGCATCTCACATATCCACTTTGAAAGAATATATAGCGTCTTGCTTTGTAGCTGTTTAAGTAGATGTGTGAGTATACACTAATAAAAAAGAAAACACAAGATAGACTGGCTTGTTTTCATGGTGTTGGCAGCTAAAGCTACTGGTGTGGGTGCTTTTAACATCCTCTGCAATTTCGCTTTAATTTGCTCCACAGATTCAACTAATGCATGAAATTACCAACTTAAAGAATCTAATTTCAAATGCTGAAGTGTACAATGAGGAACTTGAGGTGAGCCTCTCCATGAATTTACAGATAGTAAGACTTGTGTGAAATGTGCTTGGGTTGTTTAGCTTGAAATACCATATCTGCTGAGGCCAAGCTAGACATCATTGTGCTCGGGTTAATCTTACCAGCTATGGTGGGGGGATATGGCTAAGAACCATGAATGCTTTCTATGTAGGTTTTCATAAATTTGGATCTGAAAATCCAAACTGAGCACTCCAATCTTCTTTCCTCCTTTCTTCCCCTCCAACTTTTAGGCAGAAATAAATTCCAAACTGGAACAGCTGAAGGAGAAAGAGAACAAAATAAAAATATTACAGAATCGTGTGGAAGAACTACAAAAAGCAGAAGTGGAAAAAAAGGAGACATCTTTTGCACTGGTAAACTTGATTTTTCTGCTGGGTTGAGAGACTACTTTGTTCTTCTGAGTTGGATTAAATTTAGGTATAGCCTTGGTATGATGAACATCTGCTTCACTACAGGTCTTGGGAAATTTTGTTTTACGAAGTTGAAAATGTAATTACTACATATCATACAGCAGTAGTCTGGAGGAGTCAAGCTATGAGAAATGCTGCTGTTTATCCTGTCTCTCAAGCAACCTGCTACTCTTCCTCTTAAAGTAAACTTACTGAGTTTTCTGAGCCTGCACTTGCATCTTAACCACATTAAAATGAGCACATTAAGTTTATTATGGCTCTATCATGTTTTGCTTCTTTGAGTGTTGTCTTTTTCAGGGAGATTGTGATAAACTAACTGAAAAAATTCAGCAGCTGAATAAATCCCTCTTAGACAGTGAAACCATAGCCTTGGATGCCAAAAAAGAATCTGCTTTTCTCAGAAGTGAAAATTTGGAGTTGAAGGAGAAGATGGCAAGTACATGTTGAACTGCATTTATAACTGCACCAAATGCTGTTAAGGGCCTGTCTGCTTCCAGGCTTGTGAAGGAGGCCATCAGTGTGGTGGAACACTCATCATTAGCTTTCTCCAAATACTCTTAAGTAATACTTTTATTATGCAATTTGTGCAAAGTGGGTCTTCAGGAAAGAGATAAAAAGAAAGTAAAGGCTTTTTCCATAGGAGTGGGTGGTTAGTTTTAAGTTTACCAGGAGGGAGAGAGAGACATCAAAGAAGCAGTCTTTAGTGCATTATTAGGACATAAGACTTCAGACCTAATTTTACCAGAGAACAAAGGAGAATAAGAGATGTGGACTTTGAGCTTTCCAACAGTAAAGACAAAATAGTAGCAGCAGTTATGGCCCTGAACTTGAAGGCATGTTTTCTTAGAGGACTCTGACAGGAATGCAATTAAATTGTGCCTTAGTCTGCCATATTTATCAAGGTCAAAGCTGGTCAGAGTGACAACAGAAAATGTACCAGATGCATTATTTAAATGTCAAGTACATAGACTTGTACTCTGTGTGACTTATCTGTTGTATTGTTTTCCTGAAGAATGAACTCTTAAATGACCATAACCAAATGCAAAAGGATGTCCAGTTATATCAAAGCCAAATAGAAGCAGGAAAAGCCAGTTACCGAAAAATGCAAGCTGACTTGCAGAGAGAGCTGCAATCTTTATTTCAAGAAAACACAAGACTAACTTCACTGATGGAGGGTAAAGTTCCAAAAGGTACTGGTCCAAGTGGTGCCTTTTCCCTGCTCCCTCTCTCCTCCCCTTGCCCTGTAATGGTGGGAGGATAGGCAAGGCATTGGCTCTTGTCTTCTTCAATATATGGAGACTCTGGTTGGTATAAAGCAACCAAAGTATCTGGTATTGCTGGCATGGAGGAACTACTTGAGCACTTCCTTGAACATTCTGGAAAATTGCAGCTTGCAAAATATTTTGCACTGTCAAGTTAATGAAGATTGTTAGAGAGAATCTAAGATTAACTGGATATCAACCTAAGAAGTGCTGACTGATTTTCTGACCAGGAGCTTTGTCTTTTAATTGTTGGCAACAGTAAAATGTACTTTTCTGGAATTAAAACAATATAACATCCAGAATGAAATATAAATATTCTGCTTAAATTAAAATATGCTCTTTTCTCTTGCGCTTGCTTATTAGTTTAAACTTCGTTTTCTAGATTTGCTTTCTCATGTGGAGCTGGAAAAAAAGGCAGCTGACTTAAAAGGAGAACTAGAAAATGCTTTGAAAGAGAATGCACTTCTACAGAAACAAGTAAATGAGCTATCAGAATTTCAATCGCTACCAAATACAGTTGAGATACAAAAGAAAGAGGTAAAAAAAAAAATCTAACTTTTTTTCCTGGTTTTGTATTGTTCTTCACTGGTAATGTACTAATGGAGGCCTATTGGATATGAAGCTTTAAAGCCAAAAGTTGTCATGAGTCAATCTGAGATTTTACAGTTAAGTTTGTTAAATTGTTGCTTCTCAGATATTTAATATTTGTACTGAGGAATAAGTTTGTTTAGTTTAATATGTTTAGTCACTGACTACTATAATTATGCATTATTTTCTAGTCCAACCTTGCATGTCTATTTGCTGTGGTCACCACTGACAACTGAATATAGAAATATAATGGTGTTTGATCCTGGGCACTATTTTAGGACTGATTTTTTTTTTTTTTTTTTGTGTAACTGGACAAAGAGAAAATGTCAAGATCTCATAGCAGAAATTCTGCTTGAGAAGTTAGAGATGTACCTTGCAAATTCTGGAAAACTTATTAGGAAACTTTTATTTCCTAGCAGGTAAGGGATTAGTAGACTAAGTATGATGTAAAGGTTTTAAAGGGTTGGTGTGCAAACACTTTCTAGCTTTCTTTGGTCTAAGAACCACTTGCACATGAAATTACTCAGGGCAAGTAATCTACAAAGTTATTAATGCTTTGTCTACTTCCACTAATCAACAAAATGTAATTAAATGTTAACAACTTTCTCTATATTGATGCCTTAAGGTTTTAGCATTTATATTGTTCAGATTCTGTACTGCATTAGTGTATAACTCTGAACTCTATATCAAACACTAGTTAGCTGTCTTCACATTTTGGTCAGACTGAACAATCCTTCTGGGCTTGGGAAACAAGGTCACACCACTTACCTCAGGCCCTGGAAAATATAAACAAAAGTCAATCATGGAGGGGAGGCAAAAGCAAACCAGGGGAATGTGTCTTTTACCTGAAGCTATAGTTGGACAATTAACTTCTGTTATGCAAACAGATCAAACTTCTGTCTGAGAAATCTTGTGACTGTTGTTCATCTTGGGTGTAGCCTCTGCCAGGCTTTTGCACTGCCCAAGGTGAATCCTTCAAAGCCCTTTAATAAATACCTACTTTATTCTCTAACTCTGTCTTGCCTCTGTTCTAAGTAGCCAGTCCAAGGCATCAGTATCATCAAGAAAGTATTGATAAACGTAAAAATTCAGTTTAGGAGTCCAGTCTTAGCTCAAACATAGGAAATAGGAAGTATTGAAGAACATCTAAAGAGTTAGAAGAGAGATTTCAGGACTTAGGAATCCTTCTCTTTTAAAGATTCTTTGCTAGACAGTTCCTCCCAACAGAGCAAAACCCAATGCATTGTGTATGTTTGCCTGCACTTTATTTCCTACATCTTCATATGTACCTGGTTTTTATTATTTAGTTCTGACAAATACTGATTTAGAAACCGCTATATATTAATATTGATTTCTGTTGGCAGATTGTTGAAAAATGTGAGGAGTTACGCTTATTAAAATTGGAAAATGAAAAGCTGCTTTCTGAAGTAGCTGATAATGAAACGAGACTTAAACATATGTCTGAAGAAATTGAAAAATCAAAAGACAATCTCACAGATGTACAATTGAAATATACAAAGTGTGACGAGGAATATGTAGCACTTAAACAGCTCCATGGAGAAATAGAACAAAAATACATTGCTGCATCAGAAACTAATGAACAAATGAAGCTCCAAATAGAATGCCTATCTAAAGAAGCACAAGAGTCTAAAACAATTTTGGATGAAGTGAAATTGGAGGTCAGTGTCAGCTTGCTCCTTTTTACATATGAGACTTGAGGAATTAATTTATAGTGCTAAAAAAACCTGTATAAAACTTTTTTGGAGAAATACTCTGAAAGGTATAAATGACATGATCACTGGCTTCCTCTGGCATGAGTGGGTGCTACTTACTCTGTGCCAAGACTATTGAAGGCTTAGTCAGCTCGATGGACTCTTTTTGTAGGAAAAGAAATGTAATTGCTCTAGATTCTTCCGTAATTGACCTTTTAATTCTTCTTTTTCCATTCTTAAGTAATACCTTTATTATGTAAGTTTTTTTCTATCAGTGCTGCTCTCACCTACTCTATATAAAGGCATAGAAACAAAGTTTCCTCATTGGGAACTGGTGACCTTTTAGAACATGAATTCTTTCAAACCAGAGGGAACAGCACAGAAATTGACCATTAGGCCAGAATGGAAAAAATATGAAAAAATTTTAAAGACGGGGAAGTGAAGCATACATATTTTTGACAAAGCTTTGGGCACTGCTCTGGCTGTCATATTCCAACTATGGTTTTGATAATTCCTAAGCTATGCTACAGTTTGATGTGTATGTTTTAGTAAGACTTTTGCTACTAAGGAGCCATCACAGGAAAGTTTCATAAACAAATGCTTATTAATAGTGGGCAAGAGTGTAAGTAGTGACTTACAGAGAAATCATGACCTTGCTAGCTAGCATCTTTCTTCCTTTCTAAGTTCATAAAAGCTCGTTATATGTACTGTGAGAACATGTACATATAATGGAGTTCTGCATCATAATGCAAGTGTCTGTCCTTTTCCTTTGCACACTAAAGCTCTCTAGCAAAATGAAAGAACTGGAAGAGAAAGAAGCAGAGCAAAAACAACTTCTTGAGCTAAGAGAAAATCTTGTTCGGACTCAGGAGAAGTTAAACGAACTGGAACAATTAAAAGAGAAGGAAAGGATTAGTGAAGTGAGACTGGAGGCCAAAGACTTGGAGATCCAGGCAGTCTTGCAGCAGCTTACAGAATGTCAGGAAGAAATAAAAACTCTAACCCAGGAAAGAGATGACCTGAAGCAAAAAGAGGAGTTTCTCCAAGCGGAAACAGAGCAACTCAGAGAGGATATAAAGGACACTGTTTCAATGGTAGGAGAAGGACTTTTAAATTATATTAATATTTAGGAGAATATAGGAGTGGGAGTTTCTGTGGTTGTTTTTAATCAAGGAATGCTTACTAATATTACAAAATACATGTATTTTCTTTGTGGATTTTCTCTCTTGTATTCTAAAGAACATCTTGGCACATGAAGATTTGAGAAATACACAGAATTCTCTGAAGGAATCCCAAAAAACTGTCAAGAAGTTGAAACAAACTGTTTCTGAAAAAGAATCTCAGATTCTGAGTGTGGAAGAGGCACTAGGGAAAACCATTAAAGAACTCCAAATACAGGTAAAACTTTATGCAATAATTAAAACAAGGCCAGTTAATCTGCTTCTAGTCTCTTCTGCATCTCTCTTTCTTAAAAACATTCTGGGCTCTTGATAGCGAGTGTGCAGGAAAATCCCAGTCTTGACCAGCTGCTGCTGTTTCTGTAGAGCTTCAAGGGGTAATGTACAGTCAAATTAACTTTTGCTTAACTTGTGTGCCCCATGGTTGTGGATTTGAGTGGTGGCATTGGATAGGAAATGGAAAAGGAGATGAGGGTTACTTAAGTGTAGAAATGAGGCTAATTTATATTTAAAATAGAAATTTCATTATTTATAACAGTCCCAATGAGAACTGTAAGACATGATTGTCAATGGCAACTCAGATCCCAATATATCACAGAAGCCTGTTATAAATACTGTAGGAGAGTGAATGAAACAAAACTTTGGCATTTAATTTTATATTGAATTCATGAAAACGCTGTCTTTGCATTTTTTTAAATAGATCTCAGAAATGACAGAAGAAATTAAAATCATCGCATCAGAGAGAGATCAGCTTGCTGAGGAAAAATCAGAAAGTAATACCTGTAGAGAAAGTGATCAGCTTCAGGTGCAAAAGGAACAAATCATTTTCCTTACACAAGAGAACCGTTCCTTGCAGGAGAAGCTGGACAGTTTACTTTTGAAAACAGAGGAGTGTGGGGAAGGAACTTGGGTAATTATGCTAAAGCTCTAATGGGAAGCTTGCTTATTTAAACTTTTGCTTGAGTGAAAAAATTGCAAAACACACTGCAGAAAAGGGTCGTGGTACTTTACTGCACCTCATTAAACTCCAAGTTTATTATGGTTTACTTGAGATATAGGCCACCCATATTTTTTACATAAATAAATGTGTATATATACATATATCTGGACATCCAGTAGGAGAAGGACTATAAATAGAACATTAACTTGATACAGGATAGTAATGATATGTACTGTTCTGCAAAGGAATGTTCTATAAGTGAGTAGATGAAGCTAAAAACTCATCTGAAAAGGGTGGATTAGCTGTTCTAAAGCAAAGGTGGAACTTTTTCACTGACACTGAAAGGGACATTGCACAGACCACTTGTTGTAATTGTAATTGGATGTGCTGATTATACTTTTCTGTGGGTGCTTTTATAGCAGCGCCTCTGAGTGCTGTACATAATCAACCTGTCAAAGGTGTCAGATACATTTTTCCTAAAAGTACTTCCTGCATGTGTTTCCTTGAATCTCTTATAAAATAGATACCACAGATCCAAGGACGATCTATGGAGCAAGAGTTATTGCTTCTGAGAGAAGAGCTGAGCCAGGCACAACAGAAATTGCATGAAATGGAGGAGGCAAAGGCCAGTGAATATCAAGGGGAACCTGAAAAAATGGAGAGAACAGATGTTATTCCAAAACCACATGACTCCCAGGAAGTCAGCATCCAGACTGAAAGAGATGATGATGAATTTAAAATGCAACTGGAAACTCTCCAGAATGAGAGAGATCAGCTAAGAGAAATGGTACAGGAGACAATTAGCAAGGTAATAAAAGTAGCTCTCTCCCCACAGGAGAACAGCTCTAGTGGATTTCTTCCATTTTTGGAAGGGTGGTTCAGGTGTCAATGTGTTAATGTACTTTTATTGTGTCCAAAGAACTCAGAGATACAGGAGGAGTTGAGATGTACTCGTGAATGTCTTGCACAGCAGCAGGAGAAGATTGTGGAGCTGAAAGGAAGTATTTCAGAGAAAGAAAACCAGCTCTCCAAGGTGCAAGGGGCATTGAAGGAGAAAACTGATGAGCTGCAGCAGAAGGTCAGAAGCAGTTTTGTCAAGAAAATTACAAGTTCTGCTGGGTTTGGTACTCCATGTCTACTGCACACTTCAGTTTCTAGAGCTCCAGTAGATGTAATAAAGAAACCCATTATTTATAACTATGGATGTCTTGGTGCTAAATGAATGAATATTATTTAGTATCAACAATGCACTTTAAACTCTCTCTCTTCTCAGTCTTACATTTTATACATCCCAATAATGTCATTTAGCTATCTCATTCTGAAGATCCTTGGGCAACTTTAGGAGAGCTTAGCACATTCTGTAATTTATTACTCTATTATCAATTGGTTCTCTCCTTTTTGTTTTCATGTCTGAAGCCAGTGTGGATTGTAGGCTTCATTTTTAACTCTCAGTAATGTCTCCTGTCTACTATGGATAGAGCAACCGAGGCGTTTTTATGGATTTACAATGTCTTGCACCACATTTTACTTCTGCCTTCCACTGAGACAGAAGAACTAACATTTGACTGGCTCTTAAGCAAAATTGGGGTGGTTTTTTTTGATTTTTGGCTTACTATATCTGGAAACCACTGGGGGTATTATTTTCCTTAAAACAATCCATTTACAACAACCCATATGTACAGACACTGCTTCTTAATGATGATCCAACAAACTCTTCAATCTAAACTTCATTGCTGGGACAAGAAATCTTAGGAGCATATAATGTTACTGGTTGTACTTTCTCCAAAGCATCAACTTATTTTTGCCCATGCAAGAGGTGATTACAAATACCAATCCTGCTTTGGATTTGTTCTTTGCAGCTCACTGAAGTCACTGAAAACCTGACTCGTGTCTCGGCTGAGTATGGCGACCTCCTGGCAGAAAAGCAGCAAACTGAAAGGGCAATGAGTGAGCAGCTTGAGAGAATCACTTCACTTAACAAGGAGAAGGATGAGCTTCAGCACCTGGTAGAGACTTGTAAGGAAAGGGAAGAACACTTGTTACAGGTTCAGAGGCAGTCAGAGGCTTTGAAGGACAGCCTGACAAACAAGGTGAGGAGTTTTGGTGTTTAGTCACTACTTTGTGTTCTGATGTTTTCTCAATGGTGTGCCAAACTCTTTCTCCACCTAAATTCTATTTAATTGTGATTTCTCAGAGGATCATTTTTGTGCTGGCAAGCAAACATGAACTTGGGTGAATGGTTTTGTCTAAGTTTGGTTTCTACTGATATTTAGCAATAACATACTCCACTTGTCTCAGCCTTGTAACCCATTGGATTGGTCCTTCTTTGGAATGAATGTGAATTTGCCTGAGTGCCTATTCAATACACTAATCAGTAACTGATCACGTATTCCACCTTTTTGAAAGGCACTGTGTAGACAGCATGAACCTAACAATTTTTAATCCTTAGTGCTTTGCATGCTCTTTGAATAACAGGTTTGGTTTGGAAGATGTTCTAGTTTGGTTGTACTGGTTTAACATTATGAACACTGTAGGAGAGTGAATGAAACAAAAATTTGGCATTTAATTTTATATTGAATTCCTGAAAACACTGTCTTTGCATATTTTTTTAATAGATCTCAGAAATGACAGAAGAAATAAAAATCATCACATCAGAGAGAGATCAGCTTCAAGGGCAAAAGGAACAAATCATTTTCCTTACACAAGAGAACTGTTCATTGCAGGAGAAGCTGGACAGTTTACTTTTAAAAACAGAGGAGTTTGGGGAAGGAACCTGGGTAATTATGCTAAAGCTGTAATGGGAAGCTTGCTTATTTAAACTTTTGCTTGAGTGAAATATTTTGCAAAAGCTGCCGACCAATAAAGAGCAAATTTATTGTTTACTTGAGGTGTAACTCCCAATATATTTATGAATGTACGTCTGGCACCAGAATGTGACAAATGTTTTTCTGTTAGTAAAATATTGACTTGATTTAGGATGGAGATGTTCTGCATTGATCTGCCCATGGATATAGTTCTTATAATCAAGTAAGGTGAAGCTAAAATTTGCTCATCTGTAGAGTAATTCTGCTTTTTTAAAGCATAACTAGAATTGACTTTGTCCTTTTTTAATGGAAGGGACATAGCAACCAACACTTTCTATAACTGCATGTGCTGATTGTACCTTTGTGTGTGGGGGAGTGTGTATATATATATATACAAACACAGGCACACGTATATATAATGTAAACCTCAAAAGAAAAGTATTGTATGTGCATTTATTTTTAATATTGAAGAGGCCTTGGACAAATTTCAAGTAAATAATTTTCTGGGCCTACCTAGCATTTTATACTTTTGAGACTACAAATAGAGATAAGGTCTCTAGTTTTAAGATGGGAGAGGTTTGTTGTTGGGCTTTTTTTTGCTTATATTCCCTCTATGCTTTAAGTACGATAGTGAAATACTACTTCTGATAACTTCTTTTAGAAGTTTTTGCTTCAAGTTTTATTTTCACATGTCTCTTATTTTACTAAAGAAACTTAAATTTAACATGGGCTTTGGTCAAATTTTAATACTCTAAGAGAAGTACAAATCTGTCTAAAGCAGTGTTGCTGTCTATTGTACATAATCAACCTGTCAAAGGTGTCAGATACGTTTTTCCTAAAAGTACTTCCTGCATGTGTTTCCTTGAATCTCTTACAAAATAGATACCACAGATCCAAGGACAATCTATGGAGCAAGAGTTATTGCTTCTGAGAGAAGAGCTGAGCCAGGCACAACAGAAATTGCATGAAATGGAGGAGGCAAAGGCCAGTGAATATCAAGGGGAACCTGAAAAAATGGAGAGAACAGATGTTATTCCAAAACCACATGACTCCCAGGAAGTCAGCATCCAGACTGAAAGAGATGATGATGAATTTAAAATGCAACTGGAAACTCTCCAGAATGAGAGAGATCAGCTAAGAGAAATGGTACAGGAGACAATTAGCAAGGTAATAAAAGTAACTCTCTCCCCACAGGAGAACAGCTCTAGTGGATTTCTTCCATTTTTGGAAGGGTGGTTCAGGTGTCAATGTGTTAATGTACTTTTATTGTGTCCAAAGAACTCAGAGATACAGGAGGAGTTGAGATGTACTCGTGAATGTCTTGCACAGCAGCAGGAGAAGATTGTGGAGCTGAAAGGAAGTATTTCAGAGAAAGAAAACCAGCTCTCCAAGGTGCAAGGGGCACTGAAGGAAAAAACTGATGAGCTGCAGCAGAAGGTCAGAAGCAGTTTTGTCAAGAAAATTACAAGTTCTGCTGGGTTTGGTACTCCATGTCTACTGCACACTTCAGTTTCTAGAGCTCCAGTAGATGTAATAAAGAAACCCATTATTTATAACTATGGATGTCTTGGTGCTAAATGAATGAATATTATTTAGTATCAACAATGCACTTTAAACTCTCTCTCTTCTCAGTCTTACATTTTATACATCCCAATAATGTCATTTAGCTATCTAATTCTGAAGATCCTTGGGCAACTTTAGGACAGCTTAGCACATTCTGTAATTTATTACTCTATTATCAATTGGTTCTCTCCTTTTTGTTTTCATGTCTGAAGCCAGTGTGGATTGTAGGCTTCATTTTTAACTCTCAGTAATGTCTCCTGTCTACTATGGATAGAGCAACCGAGGCGTTTTTATGGATTTACAATGTCTTGCACCACATTTTACTTCTGCCTTCCACTGAGACAGGAGCACTGACATTTGACTGGCTCTTAAGCAAAATTGGGGTGGTTTTTTTTTGATTTTTGGCTTACTATATCTGGAAACCACTGGGGGTATTATTTTCCTTAAAACAATCCATTTACAACAACCCATATGTAAAGACACTGCTTCTGAATGATGATCCAACAAACTCTTCAATCTAAACTTCATTGCTGGGACAAGAAATCTTAGGAGCATATAATGTTACTGGTTGTACTTTCTCCAAAGCATCAACTTATTTTTGCCCATGCAAGAGGTGATTACAAATATCAGTCCTGCTTTGGATTTGTTCTTTGCAGCTCACTGAAGTCACTGAAAACCTGACTCGTGTCTCGGCTGAGCATGGCGACCTCCTGGCAGAAAAGCAGCAAACTGAAAGGGCAATGAGTGAGCAGCTTGAGAGAATCACTTCACTTAACAAGGAGAAGGATGAGCTTCAGCACCTGGTAGAGACTTGTAAGGAAAGGGAAGAACACTTGTTACAGGTTCAGAGGCAGTCAGAGGCTTTGAAGGACAGCCTGACAAACAAGGTGAGGAGTTTTGGTGTTTAGTCACTACTTTGTGTTCTGATGTTTTCTCAATGGTGTGCCAAACTCTTTCTCCACCTAAATTCTATTTAATTGTGATTTCTCAGAGGATCATTTTTGTGCTGGCAAGCAAACATGAACTTGGGTGAAGGGTTTTGTCTAAGTTTGTTTACTGATATTTAGCAATAACATCCTTATCTTGTCTCAGATTTGTAACCTTGATTGGATTGGTTCTTCTTTTGAATGAATCTGAATTTATCTGAGTATATATTTAATACAATAATCTGTAATTGCAGATAGATTCCCAACTTTTTGAAAAGTACTGTGTAGACAGCATGAACTTAAATGAGCTTTGAATCTTTGGTGCTTTGCACGCTCTCCAAGGTGCAAGGGGCATTGAAGGAAAAAATGAATGAGCTGCAGCTGAAGGTCAGAAGCAGTTTTGTCAAGAAAATTACAAGTTCTGCTGAATTTGGTGGTTCATGTCTACTGCACACTTCAGTTTCCAGAGCTCCAGTAGATGTAATAAAGAATACCTTTATTTATAACTATGGATATCTTGATGCTAAATGAACGAATAGTATTTGGAATCCACAATGCACTTTAACCTCTCTCTTTTTTCTCAGTGTTAAGTTTTATGCATCCCAATAATGTCATTTAGCTATCTCATTCTGAAGATCCTTGGGCAACTTTAGGACAGCTTAGCACATTCTGTAATTTATTACTCTATTATCAATTGGTTCTCTCCTTTTTGTTTTCATGTCCGAAGCCAGTGTGGATTGTAGGCTTCATTTTTAACTCTCAGTAATGTCTCCTGTCTATATGGATAGAGCAACCGAGGCGTTTTTATGGATTTACAATGTCTTGCATGTTTTCCCACATTTTACTTTTGCCTTCCACTGAGACAGGAGCACTGACATTTGACTGGCTCTTAAGCAAAACTGGGGTGGGTTTTTTTTGTTTTGTTTTTGGCTTACTACAGCAGGAAACCACTGGGGGTTTTATTTTCCTTAAAACAATCCATTTACAACAACCCATATGTACAGACACTGCTTCTTAATGATGATCCAACAAACTCTTCAATCTAAACTTCATTGCTGGGACAAGAAATCTTAGGAGCATATAATGTTACTGGTTGTATTTTCTCCAAAGCATCAACTTATTTTTGCCCATGCAAGAGGTGATTACAAATACCAATCCTGCTTTGGATTTGTTCTTTGCAGCTCACTGAAGTCACTGAAAACCTGACTCGTGTCTCGGCTGAGTATGGCGACCTCCTGGCAGAAAAGCAGCAAACTGAAAGGGCAATGAGTGAGCAGCTTGAGAGAATCACTTCACTTAACAAGGAGAAGGATGAGCTTCAGCACCTGGTAGAGACTTGTAAGGAAAGGGAAGAACACTTGTTACAGGTTCAGAGGCAGTCAGAGGCTTTGAAGGACAGCCTGACAAACAAGGTGAGGAGTTTTGGTGTTCAGTCACTACTTTGTATTCTGATGTTTTATTAGTCATATGCTAAACATTTGCACAAACTCTTTTATTTTTATTCTCAGCCTATCAGCTTTATGGTTGGTAAACATACATGAACCATGGGCAATGGATTTTGTCTACATTTGTTTATTGATTTTTAGGAATAACTTTGTCTACTGATCTCAGCCTTGTAACCCGTTGGATTGGTCCAGTTTTAGAATGAATGTGAATTTATCATATGTGTGCATTTTTAATATAATTATCAGAAATTGAACATGTCTTCCACCTTTTTAAAAGGCCCTGTGTACACAATGTGGACTTAACTGGGTTTTGAATAGTTGGTGCTTTGCACACTTTCTGAATGCCAGACAATGTTTGAAAATCTTGGACCTAATTCTGGCCTACTCATGCTTTTCATATTGTTTACTTTGCAGCTTTTCACCTGACAAATTTTTCCTTTGTAGATGAAAGAGTGTAATTGAGGATTGCTTCAGTTTAGCAAATATTACTCTCCAGTTGAGGAAATATAAAGATATTGTCCATCTTTTGTGCTCATCTTCTATTTATTTTAATTTTCTTATGATATAGACATAGGTTGATTGCCTTTTCCTTTGATTCCACTTGTTTACAGAAAACCAAAGTCGACTGATCTAAACTTATTGGGTGTCATGCTGTTCCTCTTCCTTGTAATTTTTTTTTCTGTGTGATTAGAACACCAGAATTATTTTTCAACTTTTTTTTCTGCTAGTGTGATTTTTAGTGATTAAGATTTGTGATTTTTGTATTTGACACAACTGATTTTACTACTTCATAGGGGTGTATAAAGACCACAACCACCAACTTGTGATTTGCGTTTTTCTCCACTGTTCATTGTAGATTCAACAGTTAACTGAGACATTAAATAGTGTCTCATGTGAGAAGGACCAGTTATTAGCTGAAAGAACTAATCATTCTTTACAACTTAAAGAACAAATCTCATCAGTTAATCAAGAAAAAGATGAGCTACAAAAACTTCTTCAGGATGTCAGGTCTGAGCGGGACCAGCTCAAGACAGAATTGCAAAGAAATTCTGAGATGGTGAGTGTTGCAATTTGCATACCTGAGTTATTCCTAACTTCTCATCTCAACTGGTACTTAAATATGTTTTTATTTTAGTGTGTTGAAACAAAGGCAAAACTGGAAGATGCTTTAGAACAAATGAAGCAGAGAAACCTGAACAATATGTCCATTCAGGTAAACCCAATGGATATTGCAGAGCAGGTGGCCAATGACAGCTTGACAGACAAAACATTGAAAATTAAGGTAAGCTTATTTTTCTGTTTGTTTTAAGGATGCGCATAGAAACTTAATGACACTTGTCATGGAGCATAAGCCTTTTGTGCATTATGTATAAAGTGGTTTGAATGTCTTGCTAAGGTGCTGCCTACCATGGGATCATTTGATTTGCTGTTGTTGTTCAGTGGTTGCACATCAACTTAATGCTCACAGAATATCTCACTTGCTTTCATTACTGTCCAGCCACCCCAATGAAAATAACTAGTCATACAGGCTTATAGAATCATTTAGGTTGGAAGAGACCTCTTAGATTATAGATTTCAGCCCTTAAACCAGCACTGCCATGATCACTGCTAAACCATGTCCCTAAGTGCCAGGTGTACACATGTTTGAAGTAACTTCAGGGATGGTGATTCCACCACTTCCCTCGGCAGCCTGTTCCAGAGGTTGGCAGCCTTTTCAATTCAGAAATTTTTCCTAATAACCAGTCTAAACCTCCCTTAGTGCAACTTATCACATATTACTGGAGACAAGAGGCTGACCCCAAAGAGGGCTATACCCTCCTTTCAGGCAGTTGTAGAATGATAAGGTCTTCCTGCAGTCTCCTTTTCTCCAGGCTGAAACACCCCCAACTCCCTCACCCACTCCACAGGACTTGTGCTCCAGACCCTTCCCCAGCTCCATTGCCCTTCTCTGGACATTCCCCAGCACCACCATGTTCTTTTTGTAGTGAGGGGCCCAGAGCTGAACACAGGATTTGAGGTGTGGCCTTGCTAGTGCTGATTCCTTTTGTAGTCCTGCTGGCCACACTTCCTGACACAAGCCAGGATGCCCTTGGCCTTCTGGGCCACTGGGGAACACCCTGGCTCACGTTCTGCCAGCTATTGACAGCACTCCCAGTTCCTTTCCTGCTGGGAAGCTTTCCAGACACTATTCCCCCAGCCTGTAGCACTGCATGGGGTGTGTTGTGACCTGGCAGTTCAGCTGTTGAACCTCAAACAGAAGCACTTTACCTGGGTAATTATCTATGTTTGTGCCTGGATTGGTGTTTTTGTCATATCCCCATGGCAAGTCAAAACTCAAGTCTTAATCATATTAACTTTTCCTGTTGTAAAACCAGTACATACTGTAGGGGTTAGTCCTGGAGTCAGGCAATTTATTTTATGTTTCTGTTTATAGCTAATCACACTTTTCCTCATTGTGAACAAATTAATCTGTTTCTCTTGCATTTAGGAGCTTCTTGAGAAATTCCCAAGTATGGGGAAGAGATATGAATGTCTCTCTACAGTGTCTCTTAAGCTGAAGAGTGAACTGAACAGTCAGAAAGCACTGCTAGCTGTGATACTGCCTCAGCTTCCCCTGGAGCAGAGTAAACAAGTCAAAATGCTTCAAACTAAAAATGAGGATATTAACACTCGACTCCAGAAATTATTGTCCAAATTGAAGGTACCAACTTATAATGCTGAATATGTGGATGCTTCATATTGTTTGGATTTGGGTTTGGGGTTTTTTTAAGTAAACTCTCAATGGTAACAGCTAGGATTTTATATACTCTAGCTTTGGGTTTTGAGAATCCATACATTGGAGAAAATAAGCTGAAGAGTAATTGCTTTACAATCATGGAAAATGTAAATCAAACTTAGTTTTTAACTGTAGTTCAGCTGCTTTGCACAGAATTATTTCATTAATATTATTCCATTTTAATTGGAAAATGGAGTTTCCTTTCTGTACTCTATAAATCAAATGATAGATGACTGTTTCTCTGTGGGGGAAAGAGACATGCAAGATGGCTTGGAGATGCACCCTTACTCTGCGAAACTGCCCAGGTAGTTTGATTTTACAGCCTTCCCCAGTTTGGAATCAGTTTCTCCATTGGGCTAAAATTATTAGCAAAAAGGTTAAGGGTAATTGGGGAAGAATTCCTGTTAACGTATGCAGAGGTACAGTGAATGACATTTTTTTCTGTTTCTTTTATTTACCATGAAATACTAAGGGCTGGGGGTTTTTTTGATTGGAGCGTGGAAACATGCACAGGCCTAGAGAGAGGGGCTGAGGTTCTTGAGAGTCAGTGATGTCTACAAATAACCATTAACTTGGAAGCTGAACTAATATTCCAAAGGGTCTCATTTTATAACTTAACACAGCCATTGTATGTTTGATTTTTTCCATAGTTGGCTTTTAACTTTCATGGTTAAAGATGTTTAAGATTCAACTAGTGAGCTCTGCTGGAATAAAGTTTTAAATCAGCACAATGATATTATTCTTATAGATCATCTGTACCTTTCACAACTCCAAGAGAAAATAAATATAACAAAGAACACTTTGTTTTTCAAAGTTTAGATTTGTGTAAGACTGTCTAGGCCTTTTAGACTTCTTGGCTTTTTTGGAGTCTACAGCAAATAGCGTACTGGCCAAGTGCTCTCAGCTAAAAGGCTTACATGCCATTACTATAATGCCCATGTGAACCTGATTTTCTTAGTCATGTGTTAGTTATCCTGGACATTTAGAGGCTCAGAGAGTAAGGAGATTGAATTATAAAATACTGTATTTTAGCTGGATGCAGGGTACCATATTAAAACAGGCTCACTGATAGATTCTGTGCTTCTGCAACAGCTTCTCTTCAGCTCTGTTTGCACAAAGAGAAGAGAATATCACACTACTGTTCACAAGTATGAAATGGAATTGCTGGAGGAAAAGAGAAAACAAGATCACCTACAGTCCCAGATTCAGTGTCTCAGGAAGATTAATTTGAAGCAGAATGAAGTATCATCTCAAGAGTTAAACAGCTGTGAAGGACTGCAGAGTTTCTACTTGGATGCAGAGGTAATATTTGGGGAAAAAAATAGACAATAAAAACCCATTCCAAGGCATGGGGTCATGTGGTGGTGGGAATCTAATGGCATTGGCTTTATCTGTTAAAACTTCTTTTAAGGGAGGGGTGAAAAAATAGAGATATTTTTTATGCTGCTAGTTCTATAATAAGAAGGTTTTGCTTCATAAAGCAGCTGAAAATAAAATGATTAGGTTAGAAAATAGTTGTGACTGTTATTTACTAAATTGCCCTCTACATTACATACTATTCAATACCAAGATGACTTGTTCTAAAACAATGGAATAAACTTTTGCTAATAAGCACTTTTTTCCCCCCCCTTTCCACCTGTCCCAGGAACATGGATTGTCTTCTTGCTTTCCCAATAGGGTGTAATTTTGAGTCTAGCAAAACTCCTTTTACATGATAATTAGATGCTAAAACAGACTCCCTGCTATACTGATAAGTGAGAGGACAGAAGGTATATTTACACATGTGATAATCAAACCAGTACTTAAATTTTAATTCTCTTTTTTTTAAGAGCATTCTCAAAGATATATCAGAAATGGAAAATGAACTTCTCTGCATAGAAGCAGAGTTAGACCAGGAAGCAAGTGCTAGAAAAGAAACAATACAGTTCTGGGAAGTTTGTTCAAAAATTCACTGGGATACAGAGGAATTGAAAGAAGAACTAAAGAAAGATAATGAAAGACTCCTGCAAATCTTTAAATTCTGGACTCCTAAAGTGAAGGTAAAATTAAATGTTACAGAATCAGAGATCTATTTTGTGTAAGCACTGCAAATGCCTATGATTGAAAACAAAATACAAAAAAGGCTCTTAAATCATCATTCATTTATTATCAGCATTTACTCATACTTCAACTGTAAAATGTAGGAATATTTAAAAGATTTTCAAAGGTTTTTTAAACTTGAAAAGTTGCTTTCTAAAAGACTTTCTAGTTAATAAATGGGAATAGGGTTGTTTATTTGGGGTTTTATTACTCTGAATTCTGAAAAATGTTGCTTTTCTTGCCAAACTTTATCAAAACTACTATAGCCATTTTTGACTCAGTCAAATTTATATTTGCACTCCTTTCTTTCTCATGCTTACCGCTTGCCTCTTTTGGAAATCTGGAGAGCATTTTTCAGGATTTAGTGCACTATGAACAGGATTTCACAAGATTTCATCTTTCTGATTAAATCTTAAGTTTAGCCTATTTTTATAAGTTTCTTCTGTAGAGTCAATAGTCTGTCTTGACACTTTTAGGATTTTGCAGTGTTGGCAAGTTTTTCACAAGAATTCCCTACCCTAATATTATGTAGATCAAAGCTTTTAACAAACAAAAATCTAGTAAACATTGTCATTTCCTGACAATTGTGAAGTTTTTATTTATCTGACATGTTAAATATGTGGGTTTCTAGAATAGTCCAATGTGCAGGTTTCATTCCCTTTAGTCAGTGAATACATTCTAGTAAGGAAAATCTGTGAATAATTAGGTTTTCTCTAGCTGACTTTCAAGAAGTTTTCCCATTATAGTTCATTTTGTTTCTTTAATATTAGAGTTTGAGTTAATGCAGAAATACTTGTAAACCTGCAATACACTATCATTGTGTCTTGTGCCCCTTCCTGCCTCCTGTTCTTTTGTAAATTAAACTGTTCTTTGAGTGATAATGATACTATTTCTGACAGCAAGCATTGTCAAATGGGGCACTGAAACAAGAATGTGATAATAATGCAGGCTAAGGTACTTCCTGTTTCTTCACTTGCCATATTTCTAGCAGATTAAAAAAGTATTCTGTGTAATGCTTCTGATTTTCAGATGCTCCTTGAACTTTCTTCAGAACTGGATGCCAGAACTGCTGATTATAGTAAAAATGCTGATGTTGAATTAAAACAGAGAAAAGAGAAAAATGAAGAGTTGCTTCAGGATCTAAACACTCTAAAAGAAAAACTGGCCCCTGGTGGCTCTGCCAGTCTGGCATTAGAAGAAGAAAATTATAGGCTTCATAATAAATTAAAGGCTGCAGAACAAGATAAAAAGGTACCAGTACTTGCTTCTAAGGAAAGCTTCTTTAATGCTTACTTTCTAAGGGAGAGTACTCCAAACTGAAAATAAGGATTGATGGCAACTGTAAATCTATGCCACCACAATACAAATAGAGTACCCTTTACTTCAGTAGCTCTTTTATTTCCAAAGTGGAATTTTGAGCTCTTGCCTGTAACATGATTATTTTAATGGCCTGATTTCTGTACACAAATAGATGTTGAGTTTAGAAATTGATATGAAAGCTTTTATTTGCTTTGGAAGTATTGACTTCAATAGGGTGATACTCTTGATGCTTCCTGTAAGTATATGGTATTCACTATACATGAAGCTGGAGAAGAATTCTCTATTTAATCACAAGAATTGAGAATTCATTTTTTTATGCCACAGTTACCCTTCTCCAAAACACTTTCTTTTCTTAGACTTGAGTGTTCTAGACTATTAAAAGGTGACATAAAACAGTGACTTGGACATTAAGAGTTGCTATAGAGCCTGTAGTGTTGGGATTTTTTTGTGTGGTTTGGGTTTTTGCTAGTTCTTGCTAAGAATATGACCATGTGCTGTTACTGTTACTGCTCATAACTGACTGATTGATGTATCTCAATAGGCTATGGAAGTCAAAATTCACAAGTTAGAAACTGTAATAAATGAAGTGGGAGAAAGTATCAAAGAGAGAGATGACAGGATAAGCAAGTTACAAGCACAGATGAGAATAAGAACAGAGACAAGTGAGCTCACCCAACTGCAAGCCAAACTGAATGAGATGGATAATTGCCTCAGGACTGCCTTAACAGAGAAACAGAGTCTTCAGGTATGAGCAACATACTTCACTCTTCTCTTTCTCCTCTGATTAAAGACACAAAGCAGGCTTGACAACAGTTGTAGGTGAAACATAGCTCTCCATATCTCCAGTCAATGTATTTATTCTGTATGGCATTCCTAGAGTAAATTCCACTTGCTTGTTTAGCAGCCAGTTTCACATTCTACCAGTGCAACCATCAGTGGCAACATTTAGAATCCATATTACAATACTATAAACTAAATGTGTCACTTGTACGTGATGCATTTCTGAAGCACTTGAAACATCTTAAAACTTTTAAACTGAAGCATGATCTATTTACTCAACATTTGCATGCTAATTTAGAATTCACAGATTTATATCTGCACAGAAGTCAGCAAAACTTCCTAAAATATGGTAGCATGTAATACACCAGTGTAGGACACCAACTGCTACTATAGTGCTAGTTGGTAATGTGAGCCACCTTAGTGGAAAATAACTTCCTGCTCCTGGTCTTGTCCTGCAAAATCTAGCAGATCTATAGTAAAGATACAAGGTAAACATCCCTTAATTTCATTGCTAACCAAAAAGCCGTTATTTGTACTAAATATTTTATTTTCAGGCAAAATTAGATGAAGGTGCTGAGCTGTACAAAGAAGAAATTGACCATCTCAAAACACAATTGGTGAAATGTGATCTGGAAAGAATGAAACAATCTAACTCCTTTGAAAGGAAGTAAGTTCAAATTTTATCTTACAATTCTCAACTACTTCATTCTTAGCTTCTACTTTGCTCTTTTCCTACATAATAAGTAGTTATCATTCAGTTTGAGGTGTTGTAAGTTTTTATAGTGGTTAGAGAAAGTAAAATCTCTACACACCTTGGGTTGCTTACAGAACTTCTTCCCTATACACCCACCAAAATTTCTCAATCAACTGTGTTCAGCCATATATGAAATAACTGTTCTCACAAAAGAAGGCAAGGGGAAAGCAATAACTGAAAGCACTCTCTACTTCATTAGAGAGAAGGATACACCAAAAATAATTAGTCCAGCTTTTGGGTGCACTTTATCCAAAATCTAACTGACAACCAGGTTTATGTAGTTTTTTTTGTAAAACATGGCTGTGTCTTGTATTTGATAGCTCATTGGAATTCAGCTGAAACTGTAATAATTATTAAACTGAGGTTTTCTGTGGTTTTTTTCCCCCTCCCTTTCTGCTTCATATAGACTTGCTAATTATGAAGCCCTTGCAGAACACCAAGAACAGCAGTTAACAAAGCTAAAAGAAGAACTGAGGAGAGCATACCAAGAGCAAGATGTTACTGGTAAATTCAAGATAAATAGAAGGGACTCTTTCATGTTAAACTCTTGAGTTTTGAGGCTAAATCTTTGAAGATGAGATTGAGATGCAGGCCTTGTACTCAAAGGGTATGAGGAGAACTGGGTGCATTGGAAGATGAGATGGAAAGTAGATTCCATCAGCTGCATATGAACTGCATTACAATCACAGCAGTTCTTGTGTTTTTCTCCAGCCACGTTTGCTCTTGTGGAGGAATAAGCTGCAGTGGTGGTAGCTCATGTTGCCACTTTCTCCTTGACATATGAATACCTAGTTCTAATGAAAGCTATGACATACCTGGAACAATAACTAGTTTACCTCTAAATGGCCCAGTGAAGAATCTGTCATGTTTCTTATTATCTCCCTGGCGGTGTGAATAGTGGGAGGTGTATTTTTTGTAGAAAAAAGAGTAACTGTTGGAATGGCACTTGTAACCCCGTGAAGTTTGACATATAAGATCACAAAAAGGCATAGGCTAAAAAATGTATTGGTTTGATTTTAAGCACTCTCCAAATTATGCACACACATTTGTATAAATCTATTTTCTAGTGCTGAAAGAAGCAGATCCTCAGCAACCCCAAAAACCCCTTACTTGTGGTGGTGGCAGTGGTATTGTGCAGAGCACACAAATACTTGTTCTAAAATCTGAACAAGCCAAGCTACAGAAAGAGAACTTGCAGCTGAAGAAACAAAATGACCTTCTATTGAGGTAAGTGGACAGCTGACTAGCAGCATGTCAAATCATTTATGTACATTTATGTATTTATGTACATCATCAGTGTATGTTTCTGGGAGACCTATAGAAACGAGTAACCATTGATTTTAGATTTCACCTCATGAACTTTTATTTAAAGCTAGTGTTTTATGGCTTATAAAGCCATAGAGGCCTTTTGAACTTTAAATTGCTTACTTTCTTAAGAATCTTTTAAATTATGGAAGCTACACTTGAATTGGAAGGAATTTCAGTCTAAAAAGAATCCTCTGAAATCAAGATACACAACTATTATACTGCCATGTCTGTCACACATAATCTGAAAATACAGGAACTCTCTGTTCTTCAGGAATTTTTTCTTAAAGAAATTGCTTTAAACTTAATTGAATGCTGGGGTTCTTTTCTTTGCAGCAATGAACTTCAACTGAAAGAAGAACTCAGGAAATGGAAAGAAAGAGCACTAAAATTGAGAGAACAATCCTCAAGAGAAACTACTCGAGAGACAATACCAAAGTCTCCTAAGAAGGCAGTGTCATACTTCTTCAAAGAGCAAACACTTTCACCCTGTAAGGAAACTGTTTCTCAGGAAACAGTGACTCAGGACCTACCAAAACCTCTAAATCCGACTCGTCCAACAAATTTCTTTGATAATTCCAACTTGGGTGTGCTAACAGGTACGTAACACAGTGGTAGTGTCCTATAAGATTTGAAGATGCAAAATGTAAGGGATGGCCTGAGATCTGAAACTTGCATGGTAACAGTGTTCCTGAATGGTTTGTCATATGACTGTTGAAAAGCAGACCATCTGAGCTGTGAAGCTTCTGTATGCTCTACAGAATCAAAATACCAAAATGAATCCTTCGCCTGCTGAAGAATATACAAACCTTTTTTTCCTTTTCTACAGTGGAAGTGTTGATGAGTGACTTTTCGAAGTGAATCAGCAAAATATTGTTATTAGATAACTGGTGCTCTAAAATGTTTTGCTTTTTTAACTTTGCTTAAGCACAGATTTCTGGTAAAACTATATAAAGTTAACTGGTTAGCTTTTTTCTGAAGTTTTTCAAGATGGTAGACTTTAGCCTTTGATGTTGCATTTGCTACTCTGCCTGGTCTCAGCTGCAATAATAGCTGTTTTGATGAGAACTTCTGTTCCTCAGCATCACTTCAGATTTCTTGTATCTGGCCTGATGACTTTTAGTGACCTTCTGCCCTCACGCTTCTCACAGCTTTCAGAAGGCCCCAGCAGACATGTTGAAGAGTAGCCAGGTTTTGAGGCATTAGTAGCAGGCTTCCAGAAAGAACATGACCCATTAGTTGGTTTTGTGATGGCCACTTGGTAACAGCACAGCTTTCCTCACAACACATAGCTCCCCAGAGGGAAGCTTTCATAGCTGACAGACAAAACACTAATCAAGATTAAATCACTGTACTCCTGCTGCTTGTCTAACTAAGAAAGGCTTTAATGTTCTTGTCTTCTGTACAGATACACGACCTGAGGGCAGAGAGTCCACACAAGAACATCTTAGGCACTTCTTTGGGACTCCAGACAGAGATAAAGCCCCTGACTGCAAAACCCAGTAAAGATGCTCTGTTGTAAGCTGCCCTTACAGTGCCTACAGCCAGGATCTGCATATACAAAAGAAAATTGCTTCAGGTTAAAAACCATCAGCTGCTTCCATCTTTGCTGTCTTGGAGTTTCTACTTCTTACAGCTGGGAAAGCTGGAATATGAGGACAAAGATGGAAAACCAGATGTTGCCCCACAGCCTGCTAAGCTGCTGATGTTCTACTTTGGTGTTTTGGTGTGGATTTTTTTCATAGGAAAGGGAAGCTAATGTATTGAAAAAAAAAGGGAAAAGTAATGGTTCACAAACTAATCTACTGTGAAACTTCTCAGTCTCAAAGTTTTCATTCTGTCATTCCTAAAACAGCCCTTTTCTGAGGTGTTGATATTTCTATCTTCAGAGTGCTGTTGACTTGGCAAGAAATATTCTTTTTGTTTCTTAGCATGTGGTTTTTATACCATATATTCTTTGGGCCAACAAAAACTGTGTTTTCACCACCGTCTTGACTTCTTAGGTCACTGCAACCGAAGTTACTGATCTTGTGTTTGTAGAGCACACAATCAAGGGTTCCTCTTAAACTCCTTAAAAGTTTCTGCAGCTCAGCCAATTATGGTACAGTGAGTAACTTTGAATTTTGCATCATTTTTCACTATACCTGTCTGAAGTTGTCTAATTGCACTTTTTTAAAATAGGAAGCAATGGACTTGACACTTTTCTGCTTCTCTAGTGAAGGGAAAACAAACCAGATCATTGGGGCAAGATGGACTTTTATTAACCTACTTATCTGTATTGTGAGACCTACATTTTGTATGTTTTATATAAGAAATTTTGACTTGACAATAAAGTTTGTGTTAAATATGTAAAAATGGTTTTGCTGTTCACTTGTGCTATGGTCCAGGGATGCTGACTGCAACATTGTGTCTAAATGTTACCAATTTAGTCTTTTATACTGATTTCATCACTTCCATTATTATTATTCTTCTTGTCTCCATCCTCTATAACCTTCTGCAGTAATTACTTGTGCAGAAATTTACTATTGTCAAAGTTTTATTTAATTCTTTGGGTCTATCAGAAAATGGTTGAAGTCTAAAATATAGATCCTCCTCTCTTTCCTGCCCTCCATTACCAACTAATAGGAATTGGCCACTCAGAACCTGTGATCAACTCCATTAAGGATAAAATCATTACCATGAGATGAGAAAGTCATACCCTAAGGAAGATACCTGCATCAAAAGCATCATCCTTATTTTATAGGAACAAATCTCTGTGATGCTAGGTCCTGTTAGGATCACCCAAACTGACAAGCAGATGGCTCCACTGACATGTTCCTGAGCATTCAGCAGTTACTGGAACTGGAGGAGGCACACAAGGATTATATACCTGATGGAGTTACTTCTTTGGTAAAGAATCAGCCTATTTACTTTGAATGGCTGAAAACTGCCAACTACTTTTCCTGTAAGCTGCAAGGATTTATCTCAATCTCTAGCCTGGAATGTGTTTTGGAAAGCTTTTAAAGGCATGATGATATACAGGTTCCAAATACCATTACAGAGTCGGGCACTGCAATGTCTTATTTCTGACCACAGCCACAGGTATTTATTTTCTGACAGGGATAAGGATAAATGCAAAGTGTTGGTAGGTCTGTGGTGTTTTTTTGTATGCTTGTTTTTGTGGGGGTTTTTTGTTTGTTTGTTTTGAGGTTGGTTGTAAGTTTTCTGGGTTTGTTTTGGGTAGGTTTTTTTTTGGTTGGTTTGTTACTTTTGTTTTTCCTACTATGATGAATGAGATTTCCTTTGGCCACCAGCATTTTGTTGTTCTAATAAATGAATTAGACTGATATTTTTTCTTCCAGAATTGGGAAAGAAGGTGTATATATATATCTACCTCTTCTATATACAATTTCCATTGGGTTTTTTGTTAATTATTGCTTGCTTGAAACAACTAGGTTTGGTGATTTTTCCGGTGATTGAACTAAAAAAAGCAGAAACTTATTGCAACAGGTGGCAAAAGCTTAGGGGCATAAGGATAAGTGCTTTTAGCAAATTGAGTCATTACAGGTTTTGTTTACTGGGGAGCTGATTTAGAAAGCTTTAAAAAGAAAGAAAACCTTAGCAGAAACACAGGATAAACTGAACTTTTGTGTATGTGTGTCCCGTTTTATCCACAGAAGTGGCTTTTCTGAGAACTAACTGATGTTTAGGCAGGACACCAAATTCCTTAATAATACTATCAGATAGCTTTAAGTCTGGTGTGAGCTTATAGCTAAATTAGTTTGTTCTAGAATTTTTCAGTCTAATGACATTCATTCTGCTTTAATATATGCTAGTTAAACCACTAGAAACAAAAGGTAAGTTGGCAAATCTCCAGTTTAACAACAATAAAAAAATAGTCACATAAGTTTTGTCCTTGTTTGGAATTTCATCATTTACACTGCAGAAAGACATTGCTTGGAAAAACAAGTTTGTGGCCTTTTGGTGGGAATCCTACTGATCTCTTGAATTCCCATTGTAAGAGTCAGATAATGCTGGTGATACTTTTGTGTCCTTTCGTGTGCAGGAGAAAAATCACACTTTTTTAAAATACTCAGTTTCACTAGATGGCAGCATCTCAGTATTTCAACAGGAAATTACGTTCGTCCAGGTTGGACTACAAATCCCAACAAGCACAGGGAAAAAAAATAGGATAGAACTTCCTTTGGTACAAGGGTCTGTGAATATAGCAAAGCTGTTCTAGATCTCTTGGTGAGTGACTGTATTAATATTTATTTGTAAAGGCTTCATAGAATCAGTATGGCAAATGTTCATAAAACATGACTATTAGATTGAAAAATGTATTTATGATGCATTTTGCTTCCCACTTGTTAAGGCATTTTGGGGAAGTACTTGAACTGGTCCAGGTGGCTTTTGGAAAGAAAAAAAAATTCTTCCATTACGTTGCTTCAGAAGTCTCATTTGTTGAATGTGTAACCTTCAGGAAACAGTTCTGGTGCAACTTTTGTTAGGAAAAACATCTAACAAAACAGAATTTCTGATCAAAATAAAAGAAAAGAATAATTTATTCAAAAAGTAGGATACTAAATTCGACTCAGTAATCTGAGTCACAGCATGGATTTGAACATCTCTAGAGGACAGCACTGGCTGCTAACATAGGGAAGATTATGGTACCTTTATTTTAATTTCCCGGTGAAGTACTTGATGTGTTGAATTTGTGTGTATATTTCATTTATATATATATATATATTAAAAAAATATATATATAAATTTATATTTATATTTAAGGACTTTGTTCTTATGACACCTTTCTACACCCATATCTACATAGACAAAGTTGCTTGGAGGAGTATGAGAATGCTGCAGTTTAGCTTATGGGGAACCCAATTACCAAACTCCAGATATTTCACTGTGACTAGAACACAGGGACCTCACTTTTTAGGAAGTTCTTTGAGATTTGGTATTTGTTTTCACTTGTTTGCCTGCATTTTTGTATGCTGTATTTCGTTAAACCTAACACAGCACTTAAACAAGGCTGTATTTTGCCTTTTGGCTGCTCCACCTAGGCTAAGGTAGCAGATCCTAGAGGTTCCCTACTGCCCCAGGCACACTGTGTTCCCTGAGAACAGGGAACAAGAGGCAAGACTGGGGGCTTCATTCCCCCACACTTTCCTGCTTCACTGGGACTGAGAGCCTGCTGTGCTGGAGGATTCCTAAGACAACTGAGGGCAGATACCAAGGCCAGGGCATTGTGTGGGATGTATTGCAGTCTAGGACATGGAAAAGTTTGTAGAGAAACAGAAGACAGACCTGCTTTCTGAGAATACCACAGATAGTGGAAACACTAGATTATCAATTATTGTACTGCTGTTTCATCCTGGCTTTTTTTTTTTTTTTGCCTGTTTAAGAAAAAATCAAATTTCTGTTATAATGAAGCTTAACTTCTGAGCTCAAATGCCTTTTGACTTCTTGAGACCCTTTATGTACTACTAAAAAAAAAGAAAAAGATGGGGCAGCGCTGCCTCTCAGAACTCTGGAAAACTGAGGGCCACAGGACAGTTGTGAAGGCAGAAGTACACCCTGGATCGTGTCTAGTTTTGGGAATGTGTTTGCATCTGATTCCAGGGGGGGGATGGTGTTGCCTTGTTTGCTCAATTTCTGCTCATTCCCGTGCAGGTCAGCGCCATGGGGCGGCTGGATGGGAAGATCATCCTGTTGTCTGCAGCAGCACAGGGCATTGGCCGAGCAGCTGCTATTGTAAGTTGGAAAATGTTTGTTCTGCTGGGCCTGTGCAAGGTCTCTTATTCTAACTTGTCCAGTGACACCTGCACCAAACCAGTTCTTGAATTAATAAACCACAGATGATACTAGAAGCACACAGTGAAAAAGTCAGGGAATAATGTAGCCACTATGCTGTATCATGCAGGCTTTGTGCTGTTTCAGTTTATGAAAATCTTCAACTCTGAGTGGAGATGTTAGACAAGGATAAGAACCAGATTTGAGGACAGCTGCATCTGCTTTTATAACAATATATGGTTGGTACTGCCTGTACCTTTTATTCAACATCTCTGTTGCTTTGTTCTGGAAGAAAATAGAGATGATACAGGGGATATTTCCTGGTGTAAGGCTGGATACTGTGAGGATCCCTTACAGTAAAGCCAAGATATTTTACCTATATTCATGACTGACAAAACCAAGTTCACATGATATTAGCACATTGTTCACAATGAGCAACTGTAAGGAACCATTTACAAATTTTGTTTGATTACTGTTAAACAGAATTTAAGGTATGTATTAACTTTCCAGTTAGCTTATAACTCCTTTTGACCAGTTCTTCTCCTGCTACTTCCCTTTTCCATGGCAAATAAAAAACCCAGTAGAATTATCTTGTTATCTCTCTAATGTAATTAACAGCTCAGGAAAAGCTCCTGTAGCATTTTTGCTAGACTGGTTAGTTTCTCATTAGCGTGCTGAGAACACAGAAGACTGCTGATCTTGGCTCTTACATGAATCACTCAGTCCAAGGAGCAGGTAATCCTCCTGATAGTTTCACTTTGTAAATACCCAACCAACCATGGAAAGCTGATATGGTTAATCTCACTATCCCCTTAAGCTGCACTTGGGACACCTATTTTGAAGATAAGGGGCTACAGTCCAAGATGTCAGAATACTTTTTACTTCCTTAGCTGTTGATTTATCAGTAATCACAATAAAAAGAGGCTTTTGAGGAGGCTTTCAAGAATGAAGCAGTGTCTCTGGTTAAATATCAAAAGCCATGCTGCTTTTAATATTGTTCTATTCCAATTACTTGGATACAGAAGATTTTGTTTATAAAATCCTGGTTTATGACTTCTGCCTTTACCTGTCAAATTTTGTAACATTTTAATCTAACAATAGATTTAAATTAGATTTAAATCTAACAGTATAGGCAGTTCTAGCCCCATTGCTTACTACTGCAGCTAATAAGGACAATAATAATTTCCATTATCTTAGTCTGGTTACTGTTCTTATACTTTATTTATGGATTCCTTCCTTTAGGGAAAACACCTTAAATCTGTCTTATCACACAAAGTTAAATAGTTGTCTGCAACTCCCTGATATGCCCAGAATGAAAACTTAGAGATCAGCTACCTTCAGCTTGGCTTGGCTCCTATTTCAAGCCAAAAAGCACCTGAAAACAGATTTTATTTCTGGTATGACCTGGAATATCTAAATATAAACTGTTTCTGTGTTCTCCAGGCTTTTGCTAAAGAAGGAGCCAAAGTCATTGCTACAGACATCAATGAGTCCAAACTGCAAGAACTGGGGAAATATCCAGGTAAACAGCCCTACATCAGGCATTAGTTCAGCTCTTACAAGTTTTGTGTAGGCTATCTGAGATACATTTTGAGGATAGGAAAGCTTGAAAGAGACAGGAAAAAAGAAAACCAGACTAGTTCTTCTGATGTTTGCATTGCTTTATGCTGTGGTATAAAAGAACAGAGATTTGCCATGTGAAATATTGCAACGTCAGCGTATCAGAGTATTATTCCAGACATGTGGAATAACTGATTTTCTTGTGTCACAGAAGAAGTTGATGTTTGCTGGAACAGCACCCATTTCAGTTACCTTTTGCCTTCACTAGGCTAATTATCAAGTGCATCACTCTGGAAGGCATGGGATGTTTTTTTCTCTGATCAAGAGAACATCCCACTATACAAAAAGGTAAACTTAGTGTCTTGCATTTCTATGGTCCATAGTTGGCTTGTCCTTTTAGTGCGTTCCTTATTGTCCTATAGAATCCATATGTCTTCAGAAATGTAATTCTAGCAACATTAGATATGCCTATTCTGTTGGTATAAATGTTCAGGCCTGAAGGTTGTTTTGTACTGCCACCACAGGAACATGCTTCAAGGAGCAGGTTTTGCACAGGCATGTTTCTAATCACAAGTGGGATAGTAGGTTAAAAAGTATTTTTTCAATCTTGAAATAAAAATAAAACTTGGGTGTAGTTCACAGCTGACAATGCTTCTAATTTGATTTGAGAAAAGAAAGTGGATTTAAAGAATTCCTACTAAAGGCTGATAGTAAAATACACAAAACCACAGCTGGCACAACTTTTAGCATGACTATCAGGCTCTGCCAACTGGAGCTCACACCAAGAAATCCCTTTGTTATTGTTTGGGAACTTGAGGGCTTTTCAGGTTCCTTCTGAGGGTATTTGGGAAAATGTTACATTTTTTTCCTCTGCTACTATGCTCACAAGGAAAGAAATAATTTTCCATATACTCAGAGCCATTCCCATCCTTTAGACATAAGATTAGTCAGTCTATAATTCATCAAGACTTGGCACTTTGAGGTCTTTGAATTTTATCCAGGAGAGGTAATTCCAATGTGATGTTAATCACCAGCCTGTAGTCTGATCGAATGCACAAATCTCTTCAAAAGTGTCTCTACATTTAACTAAGGCACAGAAAGCCTTTTCATGGGAACCAGAGCTTGGTGCTTTGATTTCAAAAAAACCCAGGGTTTTATCCATTTCAAATCAAATTCTCCTTTGACAATACTCAGATGCTTTACAGAGAGCTTTACAATGTTTCATGGAATCATATCTGTTGGATTAGACTTTGGGAGGCCGTGTAGTTCCATCTAGTGCTCAAACTGGCACTGGTTAGAGCAGGTTGCTCAGGGCTATGTTTAATTAAGTTCTGAACATCTCTAGGGATGGAATTTCATCTGCAGGACCCTGTTCCAGAGTGACTGCCCTCATGATTTTAATTGTTTACGCAAAATAATTTTGCTGTATTAATTAAATTATATAAAGCTCATTCATAACATCATCAACTACACATGAGAATGTGGCATGTAGTGAGACTGGAAGACACACGTAACTAGTTCCAGGTGTTATTCTATGATAATGTGTGAAAGCTTATTATGATTATATAAGTTCTCTAATTCTTCTGTGTGAGACTATAGTGCAATTCAAACTTATTTGGAATGTTTTTATAGTAAATTAAGCTAGCTCATCTGCTTGTCATGCTGTATAACAATTAAAACAGTTGATCATTTTAATTCTCTCCTGAAATTTTAAATAGCATCATATGCTGTCCCAGATTAACCACTGCACAAACTTAATCATTGAGTGAATTGAATTTCAAGTGCTATCCTAAACACATCAGAAAAATACTCAGCTAATCCCCAATGAAATACATTGAAGCAAATGCTGTGTTTTTTCTAGGCATTCAGATACGGGTTCTGGATGTCACCAAAAAGGAGCAGATAGAAAATCTGGCCAAGGAGATTGAAAAGATTGATGTCCTCTGTAACATTGCAGGGTAACCAGAATCTCTTTGCTACTACTGTTTTTCCAGTTTTCCCTGTCCTCCTTGAAGTAATAGAACTACTTTCTATTACTTCAATGCATTTTATTTGTTATGTTTTAATGGATTTTATACTCTTAATAGAAACCTCCGTGTGTTTCCATCAAAACGGAACTTTTTTTGCACAGCCACATAACCCAGGCCAAGATAGAACAGCTCTGGAACTTGTGTTTTCCTCACTCTATGGGTACCCTGTACTGATGGCTTTGGCCCTTCCAGCACAACAGTGAACAAAGCCTGGCAGTCTGCTGGTGCCTTTTTTTTTTTTTTTTGTTGTTGTTGTTGTTGTTGTTGTTTCTTCTGCTGCCAATCATTTTGTTGCACATATTGAGTCTGCTTTATGTCCTTGATATTTACCAGAAGAAATACACTGCTGCTTGCATTCTTCAAAGGAGCTCTTATCTCCCTCTTTTAAAGGTTGGAAAAGTTAATTGCTACAAAACAGCAATGGAAAGTGGATTACTGTCTATGACTTACATTTACAGAAATGTAAGCCGCAGACAGTAATCCACTTCATGCACTCATTCTAGGTTTGTTCATCATGGAACCATTCTGGAGTGTGAGGAGCAAGACTGGGACTTCACGATGAACCTCAATGTTCGCAGCATGTACCTGATGATCAAGACATTCCTCCCCAAGGCAAGGCTTGGCTGCCCATGACTTTCAGTCTCTGCTGCATTGTTTAAAGTGTGACAGATCAGAGTTGCTGCCACTGTGGCAGTGTACAAAATACAAACGTGCCACTTTGGATAGGGGGGCCCTTAGAATATAGTAATCCTACTATTAAACATTCTCTTCATTGCATAATATTTCAAGTAGACAATTTATCTAAAGGATATGGTAGAGACAATTTATCTGGGGAGTTGGCATATGTCAACTAGCTAAAATACTTCAGACTTCATGCAGAGCAGTGATGGAGTCATTGCAATACAGTGCTAATGTATTCTACTACAGCACACAGCTGCCCAATACCACTGCTACAATGTATTAATAAATCATCTATATTAATATGAATTTTGTACAGCTCTGGAGACTATCTTGCGAAAAAATTCAGGGATACTGATTAGAGCACAGCAGCTCCAAGACGCTTCTTGGTTTTTCCATAATCACTGGGTTTGGGTCTACAAAACCTTGTGGACTGAATAAGGTGTTTGCATTCCCATAAATGCAAAGGCCAGATTTGAAAGCTGTGACTATGACTGGATGACAACTACTATTTTCAGTATTTTTCCAGTTCTTTTTGCTTGGTTGGTTTGATTTTTAGTTTGGTTGGGGGTGGTTTTTTTCTTAGCTGAACTTAATTTTCAAAGTTTGGGGGTTTTTAAGAACATCAGGCATATCAGATTTTAGGATGCCTAAAAAGGTCGTAACTTGAAGAAAATTACAATTCATAGATGCTAGAGTGTTGTGCTTTAGTCTTCTCCAAAACAAGAAGAGTTAGAGTGGGATCAGCGAGTTGCTTCATTGGTAGATGGTATGGGCAGATGTCTGTGTGGTGTAACTTACTGTTGTGACAGAGGGCAATGACTGAGAGGTGGCAACCTAGGAAAAAATCCTTTCCTGGCATAGTGTTCAATCCTGACATGGCTCAGGGGAACTGAGGGAGAATTTCAGACTCTGCTTTACTGCTTCAGTCAATGGCACCTACCCATGCCAACTGAGCTTTGTTGCCCTGTGTATCAAGTAGGGCTGTTCTGTGTGTTGCTGTGGGCTGTTTTGCTGAACCTGCAGATGACAAAACAGTTTGCATTTGAGTGACATAAGTACTCTCTTTGCAGATGCTTAAACAGAAATCTGGAAATATTATAAATATGTCTTCTGTGGCATCCAGCATCAAAGGTAAGTAGCTTGCTAGAGTTCCTTACATAAATCCTTATATAAATATGTAAATTTATATAGAATTCCTTGTATAAATAAAGGTAATGGATATACAATATAAATATTGTGCCACCTTGAACTTAGAGGACATTCTAAGTTCAAAGCTATTTCTAAATCCTGTGGAGGGATCAGTTAGGGAAAAAAAGGGAACACATTCAACTCAAACATAAATGCAAGGAGACAGAAAATTGTAGACACTCCAAGATCCTTACCTCTGAGCTTTTTTAATGTTTTGTAGCATTCTTTTTACCAGTATGTATTAACTAAAAAGGTATTACTTCTAGTGATATCTTGGTACATATGTTCTTCAGAGATATAATAAAAAATTACAATTACATAAGTGCTGTAACTGTGCTTTCAAAAGAAGCCTGATCATCACTAACAGATGGATTTCTACTGTTCCTAAATCTTTGCTGCTTGTTACATTTTCTAGACAGTTCCCCAGGCTTGCACTACTGAAAGATTGTGTGCTTTCCTCTGGTGTATACCTGAGTAGAATCTGGCAGTTGGCATTCCAACTAGCCTGCCCTTATGGAGAGGCTACAGCTGCTACAGGAAATGCTGGAGTCCAGAAGCAGGTGTATATTGAACAATCTTGGCTCTTTTTTTCCTTTATAACTCTTTCTGTGCTGCCTTGACATGGACCTTGTGTTAGGAGTTGTGAACAGGTGTGCCTACAGTACCTCAAAGGCAGCAGTTATTGGGCTAACAAAGGCTGTGGCTGCTGATTTCATTGAGCAAGGCATCAGATGCAACTGCGTGTGTCCTGGTAAGTGTTCTTACATTATCCTGTGATCTAGGAGCAGATGCTAGAAGGCCAGATTGAGTCTGGATTTTTTTAATAAAGAATAGACTTGGAAGTGGTAACTGAAGTTACCAGCAGCCTACAAGAATAGGGCAAGCTTGAAAGGCTTAATATAGAAAAGTTGTTGTTCTGTGCTTAAACTGGATGTTTAGTCTGATTAACCTAGTAGCTGCACTTTACACATACATTACACAGTAATTGAATGGTTCTTTTCAAAGATGCAGTCTCAGAAGTTAGAAGCAGGCAAGAGCTACCTAACAGTCTGACCATTGTTTAACCATACAAAAAATATTGAAACTAATTCTCAAAACTCTTGCCTTCTACAGAAATTTAAAACTCTGTGCTCTGTTGGTGGCTTTGTAGTCTTTCTCCTGAATTATACTGCAAAGTTAAACATAGGTGTTAAGACATACAAATAGAACAAATAAACTTTTGTTGTGATTGCTGATGCAGTTGATTTTTAACACTGAATTTAAAATTTTGCTTAGGAACTGTTGACACACCATCTTTACAGGAAAGAATCCAAGCCCGGCCTAACCCAGAACAGGTGAGAAAGCAATTTATTAGCTTGGTCACATGTATATATGTTTAACTCTCTTTTAAAAATGAATATATAGTTGCACTTCTGCCCATATTCAAGAATGTCCTCAATTTCAGAGTATTGTGGATAACTTAACATTGCTGTCTCCTTTGAAAGTGTGGTCAGCTTGAACTTGAGACAGAAGCCTTACAGCCAGACCAGAACTGAAGCCTCAGAAGGACAATATTGGTTAGTGAATGCACAGGGGCTCTCATCCAGGGAAGCAACTTCAAGTGTTGGTTACAGTATCCAGTGCAAAGGCAGAGGAAATTTTCCATTGTGGCGTGTGTCAGCCACAAGGAAGTGCAAAAACAGCACAGAGCATTCTGGCCTATGCATTTCCACATTATTTAGGATGCTTAACCATCATTAGTAGATAATGCTAAGTTCTCATTTGAAGGACAAGGGAATATCTACCACCAAAGGAAGAAGGATTTTATGTTGGCTTTATTCTAGAATCAGAGATTTAGCTGCTTTCTAAAAGTCTCCTTATGTTTTTCAACCTGAAATTCATATCCCTGTTGATTTTATGTTTTTCTAGCTTTAATTCCCTACGTAGTGCCCCTAAAGGAAGTTATGACTAGAAGCCTGTTTCCAATACTGCTTTGTAGATGTCAGTAAGTAAAAATAATTGGGTTTTTATTTTTGATATCCCAAATGCTCTTGCATATCCAGGCACTGAAGGACTTTCTGGCCAGACAGAAGACTGGCAGGATGGCTACTGCGGAAGAAGTGGCCCATCTCTGTGTGTACCTGGCCTCTGATGAAGTAAGTATAGACAATGAAATGTCCTGTCACAGAATCCCATACTTCTTTGTTATTCCCAGTAAAAAGGGTATTTGTTTCAGGACAATTCTCTTTGAGCTGGATTATAACAAAAATAAAAACCAAACGATGTTCTTTTACTGAGTTCATCCTGCAGTACAAAAGGTGTTCTGAATGTTGACAGTGATTGCAAGGCATTATGTATTTGGTGCCATAGCCTGGTGGTTGCATGTCACCTGAGCAAACTGACTGACCCCAGGTCATCCTGAATGGTGAACAAAATGTGCTTGTCAGCTTTACCAAGCTTGCACAATGGCTAGATCATGTTTTAAGGAGGTAGAATTAGTAGAGCTGCTGGAGATTTTAGTTAATGCTCAGGGTGAATCTGCCATCCCAACATAAGGAAAACAACAGACCCACTGTGGATGTTACACACCAGACTCCAGATGACCACTGCAAACAGCACCAACACTAATGAGCACACACCAATGTTATTTCAACTGCTGTGATTTTACTGAGACTAGAAACTGGACTGGATTTGTCTGAACATGTCCAGCATCTTAATGTCCATGTCAAAATACTTCAGTGGATTTAGTTCGGTATTAATGTTGCTATCTGTCAGTAGTCTGTTTCTCAATTTCATCTTGGGTTTATTATTTTCATAATGCTAATAATTTTTCCAGTCTGCTCACAGGGTTTTCAATGGTGTGTAAACAGAATTCCATTTTTTCAATATATTCAGAATGTTTCAGCAGTGACATAAGGAAGAATGTCAACAGTTCAGTTGCTTACCCCACTATCCTTATAATCTAAGTTTTCAGTTAGGTCCCATTATAATTATTGGCTGACCTGATCAGATTCTGCTCAGCTGAACAGACCTAATAACATCACAGTGTGAGGTATTTACTCCAGCAGGTAAGATATCTAAAGTCTAGCTTTTTTAAATTTGTGCTCCCAGGATGCATTCTTATCTTTATGCCTCTAGTAATACTTTTGCCACACCTCCTTGAATTAAGTAAAAGGCCTCAATTTCTGTTTGTTTCTATTTAGATATTATATTACTTACTCAGGTATTTTTGTAAAACAAAAAAGTGTATAAAAAGAAAGCATATTTTTTAATTTAAAGAAAGTGTTTCCCTGTGATTAATAGCCATGAAAAATTACTTGAAATCATTGTTTATTTTATGTAATTTCAGTCTGCCTATGTGACTGGTAATGAGCTAATCATCGATGGAGGATGGAGCTTGTGATTGACTCTACCTGCAAATGGAAATTCATGCTATGATGGGCAAAAAATGAGGATGGTGTTTCTTGCAAAGATTGAGATCATGCATGTGATGTCTTTCCAAACAAATTTGCTATTTCTAGATTGATCTTACTGATTAACTTTTCCTTAAATAGAGAAATAGTGGAGTAAAACATACTTCATGTGGCTTCAATTTATGGCAGCTCCAAAAACATGAGAGAACAGCAGTTTAATGTTTAAGATTTCAGGAGGCCAGAAATACTATTCAAGTTACAAAATCTGAGTTGTGTTTTAAGTAAAATCTGAGTGAAAGGAATTAACTATTATATTTAGTCTCATCTTACTAGGTATTTGGAAATTAAATACTCACAATTAAATACCCACAAGAACAACTATGCAAGGGCAATACTCTAGCAGGTATGGATGGGGGTATATGTGAGAGGAGTATTCTTAAATATATGGGTGGATTTTCATGAATATGCTCGACTTGAAGCACAAAAGCAAAAGGAGTGGATTTTACCACTCTAGATAGAGCCAATATATTTGTCTCCAAAATGTACTAAAGTACTAATGTACTAATATTGGACAAATTCTGTAAAATCTGTTGCTAGGTGCTATACTTTGGTGCTCTATGCCTTATTCTCAATTACCAATACAGCTCACACTAAAGCACAAGGCAAAATTTCTCTGAAAAGGGCTGTTTCTACAAGAGTATATGCTGATGTTTTTATTGTGGTAGCACATGGTAGCTTTGATTCATGAAATAGAAACCTATTATTGTCAAGTTTCATACTCTGGGAAAAAACATAGGTCCTGTCCCAGAGATCTAAGGCAATGAATAACCTGAATTCACAAAGCATTTGTTTTGCTAACATACTGCTTAAAACCAACATGAATTACATGGTCTGACTGTCAGGTTACCTTTAACATTTATCTAGTTCATTAATGCAACTCTATGTAATTTAATACATATCTTCATATATATTATATACATATATACGTGAGGGAGCAATTAAGGACTAAATGCTACTTAATATGATTCATCAATAATCAAAGCACAGGAAAAATGTACAATGTTGTTTGTGTGTTTCTGTATAAACAACTGCCATGTTTATAAAATCATTGCTTAAGCTTTTCAATATCAGCTGAAGCATTAATATAAATTACTTGATTTCAAAGATAATGAAACACATTAGTTAAAATCTTGCCTCTTATTTTAAAACTATTGTATGTAAATCTAGATTTTACTAATGAGAAAAATATTGTGAATATTGGCTTCATTGGGCTCATTATGGGCTTAACGTTTACCTTTAATCATGGTTGGAGCATTCTGACCTTCTGTAGTTTGTTTATGGGGTTTTAGAGAATCTAATATTTCAATCAAGTGACCCTGGCAGCTAAGCAGGATCAAGTTTGGGCACAAATCCAAAATGGCTCCAAAAATGTTCACTGACATAAATGCAAAATATTAAAAATTAAGGCTGGCAGGACACAATTTCAATGGTTTCAGACTTTAATATGAAGACCTAAGTCCTTTTGTAGTAGGTGCATAAGGCTTACCTTGAAAAGAGAATTTCCCCTTTGCAGTAACACAGGGAACATGTACTGTGTATTCTGAAAATATAAGTAAGAATAGGAGAGAAAATTCATTATATTTATTGCACATTGACCATCCTTACCTGATGTTTCTAAACTCACTTAAAATTGTAGCTCAAAAATGGCTGCTGCTGCTGTTGTTGTTGTCGAAGTACTTGTGCAAGAAAATAAGTACCACTTGCCTTTAAATTGCACTAAAAGGCACAAAAGGGTTTTTTTAGTGGTAGGCCAAAAATCTGATGGACCAGAAAAGTATAAATCAGCAGAGCTTGCTGCCTCTTGCCTTATTAGCAGTGCTTTTCATGGAGGTGTTAACAGTTGCAACTCTGAAATATGTTCCAATGTCATGAGGTTTTTCAGCAGACTTGCAGGAATTATTAAAGGAAAATGCTTCTTAATGCTCTCATGACCTAATTCCCTGGTCTGTTTTTAATGGAACTGGGTAATTCTCTTTGTTTTCCTTCCACCCTAGTGATAATATAAAGAGGCTTTTTGACTTTTCAGATTCTAGGTCACACTTTTCTCTTATGAGGGCGGGAGAAACAGACTTCCCTAATTCTGAGTCCTTCTGGAAAATTTAATCTGATCAAAAAATGCTTTCATTTTCTCTTGAATTTGTAGTCAGCTTAGTTCTGTGTTATGATACCAGGAGCAAACTAGCAACATGTGGCATTTGACTCTGCTTTCACATGGACTGAGTGCAGCTTGCAAATTTAGGGTTGAGAAAAAGAGAAGGTCTACGAGAACATCTCAGGTCTGAGAGAACATCTCGTTACCTCATGTGCACTTACAAATGGCATGGATGAACTTGCTTTAAGAAGTCAAAATGCCGGGATGGGAACAACATAAATATGCAAGGTGTGCTTGTTTGGGGTGGTTTTGGGGAGTGGGTGGGTGGGTTTTTTCTTTTAAATCTCCTCCCTGCCCCAGTGCATTTTGTCTGCGTGCACCCAGAGCAGAATCAGCAGCAGCTCCTTACCCTTTCCTTGCACCTCATCTCCAACCTCTCCAGTGCTGAAGTCTGGGTTAAAGGATGGTGTGTAGCTTCCCTATGCATCTTCCCACAGCCATGGGAAAGGCAGCACGGAAAGCCTTTTTCGTGTGTAGCAGATGCAGTGAATTTCATGGGGGACTGGCTACAAAAGAGACAAAAATCTTCCTCCTGGGTGCCCTGACGGCCACCCAGAGCCTTGGATGGCTCAGGACCGGTCCCATCGCTCTCGCCAACCTGACAGCTCGCACCATGGCCCGTCTGCTGCCGCCTTTCCCGCGGTGACCCTTCAGCAAGGCCTGCGGGCAGCCCTTGGGGGCATCCCCAGCTGCAGCTGCTGGCCTGGCGGAGCTGTGGCGGTGGAGGAGGGCCTGTTGCGCCAGCAGCAGCATTAGCAGCGGGGGAGGAGGAGCCGGAGCCGAGCAGCGGGGCTGTCGCCGCTGGGGCCGCGCCGGCAGAGGCTGAGGGGAGCTGAGGCCCCGCCGTGGCGCAGGTGAGTGCTGTGAGTGCTGTGCCCCCCGGTCTCGCTGCAGCCCATCGCCTGCAGCAGGAGAGGTGAGCGGGGGTGCGAGCGGAGAGCGGGCTTGGCCGGCAGGACGCTGCTCCCGCGTCTACTTGGCGCCTTTTTGGAGATAATGATGGTTTGGGTGTTTTAATCGTTGTTTATTCTGAGTGCCAGTTGCTGCGGTGGGGTTTGCGGGATTTTGTGTGCATGGCTTTCTGTACCTGTGTGCAAAGCAGAGCGCTGACAGTCACCGAGAGCTCATGCTGTAGGCGTGCATGTGCTGTCCCTGTCAATCAGCTCTCCCTCACTACCCATTCCAAAACAACTGGAACGAGCGGATCTAGTGCAAACCTTGCTGCTTTCCATACGAGAAAAGTGTATTTTACAGGGAGGTACTAAAATAGGTCTGCTACTGGCTGATTTCCATGGGATAGGCCTTAACCCTGAGATATAAATTCCTCTCAATGATTTCTCAATCACTGATTTTGTTGGCACAGAAGGTGGAATTGAAAAACCAAAAAACCGCCCCCCCCCACAAAACACCCAAAATCTATGAGCTTCCCAAAGACCCATGCTGGCATAAGTACAGTAGCTACTCACTTTGGTCCTGTTGATCCAAAGGACAGTTCTTGAAGGTAGGTTCTTGATTCTGCCAACAGGGTGAAGACCTGCCACAAACCATATAAAGACAGCACTGTCAGATTCATCATTCACTCCCTGAAACCATTCCTGTTAAACAGAACATTCAATATCCCTGGTTAGTCCATTTTGTCTGTCCCACACGCTGCTGAGAACAGCACTTTCTGGAGCTAAAGCTGTGGTGAGGTGGATTTGCCCTTCTCAGAAGTTATAATAAATCAATTAACTCTTAGAAGTATTAATTATTTTTGTGTCAACAGCTATGTGACTGATGTGGGATGTTGCCTGTGCAGAGCTGGATGGAGAACCATATCCTTCTGTTCTTTGCTTGCACACAAACCAAGTGCAAAATTAAGTACAGAAAACCACCCTGGGAAAGTGGTTGGTGAAGGGAAGGAGGGAGGCACTGGTAGGTTGCTGGTACTTTCTGTTCCAGTCAGGAGGATTGGCATTTGTGGATTCCCAGTCCCAATGAAAGGATTAAAAAAAACCAAATCAAAAGTATCACCAATGTCATTAAAAAGCCTAAAATCCTAAAACCACAACTATTTGGGTCTGCAAGCATTAATTAAAAATACAGAAAAATACTGAAAATTTAGTAAATAAGGACTTTAAATAGGAAAGAGGGAAAAAGCAAAACTATTAACTTATAACACACTGAAAGTGTTTGGCTATACCTCTGTATTGTGCTGTGACTTGGTCATGCCTCAGGCCAGTTTTATATCAGAACAGCTCAAACAAAACCTCATAGGTGTTAGAATGGCCCTTTTCTTTATGGTATCCGCCCTTCCCAAATAACAAATATTTCCTTTTAAACTTGAGGCTTGATAATTGTGAGAATCAGCTCTGACTTACTTCCAACTATCTAGCAAGGAAGGCATTTCTTGGCTCAGAAGTTCTGGCTTAACTTCAGTGATGTTTTATATGGCCAGAGCAGTGTAAAAGACTTGACAGAGATTTAGCTGATGGAGAATATGTGCCAACCTTTGATGTAAGAGAGAACACTATCAAGCCTTGCCTCCAGATATATGCCTGCCCCCTTGATGGCTCACACTTGTGAAACTACAGTAAATACATGCACCAAAAAATATCTGACATGCAAAACAGTGCACTGCCATATTTTTTGTTAGAATCTGTGGGAAAAGTAGTGGACCAGTTAGAGCTGAGCAAATACAATGGTAACTATCCACAAATGACTTGGATCTTACTTCTCTGAGAAGTACCTCCATAGGATATAGTCAGTAAAAAAAGAACCATGTTTAATTGGGCTGCAAGCTGTGAAAAGTCCTGATCTTTATTCAAACAGGCATCTTCACTTTCTTAGATACTCAGTCAATGTGTTCGTAACTAGTAGCATCTAGAGAAAACACGTTGTTAAAATTGGTCTGAAAATCAACCTGGATCAGTCAAGCTTAAGTTAGGGGGGAAGTGTCCCCTCCTGAAGCCTTAGAAACCTCTTAGAGTTTTAGAAACTATAGTTGTTCTAACTTCATTAAATGGTCACTTGCACTGACATGTACACAGGACCCGTGATGCTTTCAGGACTAATGGTCCTGCTAAGTGGTACTGACAGCAAATAACATTTAATATGTGCTGAAAGAAGGCACAAATGGAGAAAGATTACAGCTGATGTTTTAAGAAGAAATTAAGAGGTTAGCACAGATAATTGTGATTCTAAAACTCAGATTTTTTTCTTTTTTTTTTTTTTTTGGTGCTTGAATTTCTAAGCTTAATACAGTTATTCAGTTAGTTTCTGTCCTTTGTTCTTAGGTACAGCATACAGAGGGACACAAAAATCATTAAACTTGAAATTTTATGGGCTGAGAGGATTTTTCTACATGGTCTGTGGGAAAAGACATCACTGAGAAGTCATCCATTTGGAAAACTATTTGCTTCTCTGTAACTTTTCCCTCCTTATTTCTTTCTCTAGGTTTGCAACAATGGTAAGGGAAGATGTAGATGACAGTGAAGATTCTGAACTATCAGTATGTGAGAGAAATGGCATGATTCCCATGCATGAGCAAAGTGAGGTAATTAACTAAGATCCCAAAATATTATTCTAGTCAGAGAGAACTCTCCTTTTTTCCCCTTTTTAAGAATAAAATTCTTAATCTAAAAGGCACTTAAAAGTAAGCATATAGTATTGCGTGTATCTCATATAGATGTCTGTATGGCACATCTTTATGCGTATGGTGATCACAGAATCATGGGGTAAACAAGTCACTCCATTCTGAACGCTCATGAGATCTGTGTTCCAGTCATGACACTGAGTAAGGGAAAAAAAAAAATATATATATATACACAGAGAGAGAGAGAGGAAAGAAACAGAAAAATAATCAGAAATGTGGAACTACTACTGGAGAAGGGCCAAACCACATTATAAGCAGAATTCCATGTCTACAGTATGACAATATGCTGACATGAATAATCATACAGGAAGGCAGATGATTAATTTGTCAAAAATAATGTTAAAATTAAGTGAGCCATATCCAAAAATGGTCAAAAAGTGCTTTGGTTATGAATATGGATAAGTAGATGTACCAGTATAAGAGAACAGGTTCAAGGGAATGACTCGCAGTTATAGTATTTATCCATCTTTACTTTGACTTACCAGCCTGAGACTTCCAGCAATGGATCATGTGAGTAAAGCTTGTGCTGGCCAGCTGTGCTGTTTCTTTCATCTTTGTTTTGTTATTTTGATTCAAGACTTTGCAACAGAAATTATTAAGGAGTTATATTAGAAGTACCATCTCACTGGAACGATGCTAATCACTAATTCTATTGTGAAATCCAGTCTGGAAGCAGAACATTAAGAAATTGTAGTAAATATTAATAAATGTTTAGTTGTGTACACAAGACAAGATGAGCCTGGCCTGCTATTATTGTTTCTTCATCAAACATGCAAATATTGTTGCTGCACAGGTGCCATATCTGTTGGGACAGGAGCCCTGTCAGGTGCAGATAAAAAGACAAATTTCCTGCAATTTCTCACATCCAGTTCTTGCTGCAATGCAGAAAAACAAACACAGGGCCAAAATGCCAGAATTACATCAAAGCTGGGCATTCCTATAGTAGTTGTTCAGTTAATGTGGTTGCCTGTAGCCAGTGTGGATCCAGTGCATCTCAGCAGACTTCAGGTGGTGCACATTACTTCAAATACACACAGTGCCACTTCTGAGGGAGTCTCCTTGTTTGCCTTCAGCAGGAACCAACAGCAGGTGCCAAAGGTACTGATGGGAATGCACAAACAGAAGAAACTGCTCTCTTAGACCACTGCACTCAGCAACCTCCAGAGCCAACAGCAGAGTCTTCAATACCTGCAAGAACATGGAGGCAAATATTTGCTTGTCCTCCTCAGGGTTTACTGGCCCAAACAGTGACAAATGGTAGGTAAGAGACACAGAGTTTAATTGAAACGAGAAGTGGTGAAAGAAGTACTTGTTTCTCTGAATTGGATGATATCTCTCCACTGTCCTTGAAAATAATGAATGGAAATAGCTGTGTTTTACTTATCACACCATTGTTTGAATGTTTGAGCCAGAGGGGAAAAAAAAGATGAAACAAATGTTTGAATGTACAGTTTTTGTTTCTCCAGTCTCATATGTTTGCTATGGTAGGTATATTTTGCACTGCAAACTATTTTTATCAAAAGAAAGACCTCCTAATTTTTGTCTTGATAGTTTGTCCTTAGTACTACAGGCTTGCAAAGGCAAACTGATCTATTTTATTTACAATTTGTACTAAACTGAAAACTCCCAAAAGAGATGCCTGGCTAGCTAATTATTTGAGATTTTTCCTAACAAAAGGCATTTCATGTGTCCTTGATTGCTTCCACAGCCACTTGGAATTCTTAAGCTTTTATGTTTGGAAATCTACTGGTCTTTCTTTGCCCCCTGTCACTCTCAAGTAAGATTAAGAAAACTCCAATTTGAAAATGCAGGACATTTATTCAACACATTTTTTTCTTCTCCTTCAGTCTCCTGTTTTATATGTCTGCATGCCTGTTCTCGTTGGGCAACTGTTGGAACAGATTTGTGAACCTTGAAAGAGCATAATGTTTTCACATATCTTACAATATTTTCACATACTGTTCTCATAACATTTTTCAGGATTTTTCCCCCTCTGTATTATTCTGGTTTGATTACTGTATCAAGGAAAGTATTTTACTCCAGAGGTCCAGAGACATGACCCTCTTCACAATTTTTTTCCCAGGGATAACAATGTATTGCACAAACACATTGAGCCAAAAAATTATTCTTCAATTATTTTAAAAATTAGACTGGAGCTGCATTCATCAGCTTGAAGATACAGCCAGGCTGTTCAACAGTAGATTTTACTGTGGTTCTGAAGTAGCTGAAGGAAGATAAGCAAATGCAAGATATGTTAGTGAAAGTCTTTTCTTCAAGTTTGGAACCTGTGAAGTGCTTTTCACAGCAGACAAAGGCTCACTAAATTTATTTATTGATGTTCATGTTACCAATTTTAAAATATTTTAGCATCTATAAAATCAGAACATCAGTTTGGGGACCATCAAAGATTACCTGCATTGTTATGATTAAATTAATTTTTAAGGTAAATAATTTCATTTCTAAAAGTCATGGCTAACATTTTTCTTCAATAGCAAAACAAATGTGACCTAACAGCAAATTTGTTGCTAAGAGATTAACTGTTAATTATTTTTTGTTTTGTTCCAGTTGCTTTTGTGGTTCTGGTTTGGGCTGTGGTTTGGTCCATTACTGGGGCTGAGTGTCTCCCAGGTGGAAGTATCTTTGGAATTCTGTTTCTTTACTTTTTTGCTGTCATCGGAGGTAAAATTTTTGGATTCATTAAGATAGGAACACTACCCCCTATCCCTGCTCTTCTGGGTAAGAGATCCTTCCTTCTTCCTGCATATTTTGTGTTGTCAAGTAGTATCTCTATGGGTAGATGTGTTTGGATTGGGAACAAATAAACTGTGTCCCATTGAAAATCTGTAGCTTTTCCAAATGACTTTTTCTGGTCCTCTCTGAAAAGGTGCAAAATTCCCCTGACTGGAATTGAAATTACTCAAGGCTCTCTTCTTAATTCTTTGTGGGTCAGAGAACTGTTTACCTACAGACTCAGTTTATTGTCCTTCAGACCATTCTGTCACAGATACTTAAAATTTGGGATTAATAATACCAAACAAGAATCTTAATCCAGACATCATTTTACAGTAATCTCTTTGCAAAATTATTGCTGAGCTGTTTCTTTAGTATCTCACGCAATGAAAATGTTTTCCAAAGAAAACATTACAGCAATTCCCTGCTACTGGTGGTACAAAGGATTTCTTTCTTCTCCTTCCTTTATCTCAAGATAATTGAAACCTAAGAAAATAAATTCACAACAAGGAATAATTCTTCTGCAGAGAGTTATACTGATTCAATCATAAGTTTTTTTCCATATCAACATCCTATTTTATGTTATGTAGAACTGCAAAATAGAAGTGGGAGATTAAAATAACGTTAATGCTGACATCTTTAGAATCTTTTCTGGTTTCTTTCCTAGAGGAGGTTTTATCCTCTTAGATGAGTACAATATTTTGAAGTGCTGTGATGTCAGTGGAGCTGGAAATGAAGCTCCAGGTTCTTCTCCCCAGCTGTATGCTGTCCCCTTGCTGTGTTTAGTGCATAAATGAGTAAAGCTGCTGACAGACAGTAAAACTGCTTGGCAGGGTGGGCCAGGTGTGGCTCTGTAGCCTGAAGGGCTGGTGCTGTGCCTCACGCAGGAGCTCCTCACATGGCTCTGTCCAGGCAGCTGTGCACTCTTGTGCTGTTTAGTTTCACCAGAGGAAAGAAATTCAAATGAGAGGGAGGGAGGTTTTGCATATGGCATGCATGCCTGCAGTATGAACATGGAATGTCACATGCAGGGAGTCTGCCCTTTCTAAGTAAGCACACCTCTTAAACAAATAAAAGTATTTCTGACCATTTGGGTTCTGCTTGCTTGGGAGTTTTTTAATTACATCTCTATCTGAAAGTTATGAGTTGAGCATGAAACTGCTTGTCAGACAGGTAATACTGGACAGCAGAAGCTTCAGCATGACAGCACATGTCTCTTGGGTTGTTTAGGACAGAGTTCATTGTTCACATCCCCGGTCTTTGAGGAAAAGTGGAGAAATGTATGACTCAGAAGACAAGACAGACATGTCTGTGAATATTCTGTTTTTACATTAAGAATTCAAACCATGTGCTCTTACATGCCTATAACCCACTTTTGCTAGGTCCAGTAGAGTGTAAGGTGGCTGGCTGAGCGCTTAAGCACCTTATTGTGAGTGTCTCTCAGGAAAAAAGGAATGAAATTGGTACTGAAACGACCACATAATAACATTTTAGGTGCATGTTGCAGAGAGGTTTCTGCAACAGGAACTATGAAGCAATCAATTAAGATATCCTTTGGGGTGGAGATTATTGCTTTGTTAAGTAGATTCCCAGATCAGGGTAGCTTCAGTGACTTGGACCTCATGCAAATGTTGCAAACAGCTTGTGATCACAATGCCAGCCTCATAAAATTGTCACGAGGTACCACAAATTAATTATGACACTGTTCTTTTTCCGAGATGTGGTGGAAAGAACAATGTCTGAAAGTTTAGTGTCCCAGGACAAATTAAGTTCACAGTCAAGGCTCACACTGAGCTGGACCAACCTGAGCACAGTGATTTGTTTACTTTTTGGGGTTTTTTAGTTTCCTGTTTCTAAACATGACTAATATAAAATTATGCTACAAAAATGTATCTTTGAGTCATCAGGACTCACAGTGAATCCTCTGTAGATCCGTATTTGAAGTCAACTTTTCCAGTACTTTTCCATATGCTTCCAGAGCTGTGGCTTCAATAGCTTTGCAGGAAGTCTCTGCTTTGACAGTTTTACTAATATTTGTAAAATGTTGTGTCTTGCAAGTAGCTCAAATAGAGGATAAAACAAAGTTTATGATTTCCTTTCCCTTTTTTGTCCCCTCTTTGTGTAAGAGTTTCATTGCCAGAGCCCTTGAAAATGTTTAAATTAGTCCATGATGAGCTCGTTTAGATTATATTTCCTAGTGAATGCAGCATAATGGTTCCTGTGTTACCTGCATTTCTTACACATAAGAGGATTTTTAACAATTCCCAACTTCTGAGATAAATACACGATATTAGATGATCTTCCTATTTTTGTATTAAAATAAGCTAACAAGAAAAAAATCTCTAAGAATGCAGAGGTGTCTTTGCTTATGCTAAGTATGACCTGTACCTTGTAAACAAAGCTGAGTTCTTTTGACTCAGACTAAAGCTGTGTATCAGCTGATTTATTAATTGATAACCTGCTGGGTTCTGAGGCCACTTTCGCTGCTTTAAATGTGTTTATCTCTTCTCATGCCTCAGGTCCGATTGTTAAAACATGGCTAATAATTTGGAATATAATTTTTTTTTTCTCTCATAATAACATGATATGGTTATCTGTTTTTAAGAGTGCTATACACAAGGCTTTTCTTGTGCAATAAAAAATCATTTGACAGGAGCTTATTTGTTTTTACTAAAGGGATGCTACTTGCTGGTTTCCTAATCCGAAATACCCCGTTCATCAGTGACTTTGTCCAGATAAACCTACGCTGGTCCGCAGCACTGAGGAACATCGCTCTTTCCATTATCTTGACCCGAGCAGGACTCGGCCTGGATCCAGAGGTATGGCACCAGCCATTTGTGTGTGGCAGACTATACAACAGCAAACAAAAAAACCTGAGTAATTGGTTCCATTAAAAATATTGAACTGCTCAGTCTTGGAGCATCTGGAAATTAGATCATTACAGAAAGCATAATTTCTGTTGTATAATTATATGGTAATATTGGCAGTTGAATTTGTACATTAGGCAAGCAATAAAAAAAAACTGAAGAAAGAAAAATTATTATTATTTTTATTTCCTGAATTTTGTGAGTGGAACCTATTGAAGATGTGTGCACTGTCGTGGTCTGTCAGGAAGAGTTTATATATTCCCTGACCAATTCCCTGTTAGTTTATACTGAAAATTTGAAGCAATGCAAGGGATCCCCAGTCCTTGAAAGACAATGTTTTTGAAATCCCAACCAACCAAAAAAGTCCCTGTGGGACTTTTTTATACTTTTTTTTTATCCTTGCTATTTTAATGCAAATATGTTAATTGCAAAGATGAATCCTGCTGCACTACTGAAACAATGTTTCTCATCACAGTGAAGCCCGTAGCAGTCCTGTGAACAAAAAAATGGCTCTGCACCCTGAGAAACATGATACTTCATGAATTGATGAAGGCAAGGTTTTGCTTATTTAAAATGAGCTGGCTGCAGTAAAGCTGTACTGTTGAAGCAGCATCCCTGTTGAAGGAACTACTCAGAGTTTTATATAAAACTTAGATAAAGTGTGGGTAGTTTAGAATATTGAAACTCATTTCTCTTAACCAAGAAAAACTACAGGGAAAAACTACATTGCTACAGTTATTTAGGAAAATAAGATTTTGTCAATATTGAAAAATATCTGTTTTCCTGTATTATCATCATCCTCTTTTCCAAGACATTGAGGCTTATAGGAGCATGAACTCTGTGTTGTTAGACACAGCTTGGATGCCTAGTTTTGTGAGACTGCATTTCTATTTATAAGAACTTTTTTTGCTGAGGGAACTTCATTTTTCACTCCTTTTTCTTCCATGTGGTCAGAAAACTGTTGCTTGGACTCTGTGTGTGGCAATGCTTTGATGCAGTTACAGTTGTTCCTTGGGTAATTTAAACTCTGAAGACATAGAAGTCAGTTTCTCTTAGTCCTGATTATGCTGGGATAAATTGGTCTGGTAAAAAGTGGAACTCACTGATTATAATTTCTTTTTTTTTTTTTTTTTAATTTCATGTCAAAACTAGGGACCTAATGTTTGTGACTATTAAAGACAGCTCTTAGAAGCAAATATGCCAGTTTAGAAAATTTTTTTAAAGTTGCTGAGCCAAAAGGAGCCTAATCTCTGAATATCAAGTGAGAGAAAGCTGAAAGATGCTTGGCTCCTTGTGCCAAGTTGATGTCTATAACTTTTCATGATTTGTTCATAGATTTTGGGGCAATTTTGGGGGCTGCTCATGCAACTTCTGGGATTATAGTAAAATATTTTGTGGATGGAGCAAATGAAGAGAAGCCAAACAGAATTTTCTGTTACTCCTTCCTGTGACATTCAGGCACCTAATCAAACCTAGATTCACTGCCACACTTGTAATTTTATATCCAAATCCGGTTGGGCTTGGGCTTATCTCTCGTTTAGGCCATGTCAAGTCCTATAGTGTAGCTCAGACCGGATTCTTTAACAAGCCATATCAGATTTTAAATGTTTTTCCTCTCTGTAAAGCCAAGGGTTCTGACACTGTTGTGCCTGTGTGGTTGCAGGCTCTTAAGAAGCTCAAAGCTGTCTGTTTACGGCTTGCTTTCGGACCGTGCCTCTCAGAAACAGGCACAGCTGCTGTCCTTGCCTACTTGTTCCTGCATTTGCCATGGCAATGGGGATTTATATTAGGGTAATGTACTGCCTTTTCTCCTCTATGACAAAAGTGCTGGTTTCCAGGCTGCAGCTCAGTGATCCAACTGTGGTTAGTTCTCTGTGACAAGCAGAGACCTCAGTTCAGTGCCATTTGGGAAGCTGTACTCAGCCCCTCTGGTCTTCTGCTTACCCTTTATGTCTGGCTCTGTGGCTTATTTAAAGGTCATATTTTCAGGCTGCAGAGCAGTACTTGCATCATTACTTTCCTGTGTTTGTGACCTGAGCACTTGAAGAAAGAAGGATGGTGCAATCCCTGAGTCTTGACCCACAACAAAGGGTGCTTGTAGGGACAGCAAATTATACCAGTTTGGACAGATTTCATACTGGAATTCAGAACTTCCATACAGAAAGATACACGTAGGACAGCCTTCCTGTCACAAATCAAGGACAAGGATGTGGCATAGTACATCCTAGAGTAACATCCTTGAAGAGAAGACCTTTTCCATCTAGTCCTATCTAAATTGGTAGACTTGGGCCAGACCCATACACTAGAACAAGATGGGTGAACTCCTCCTCTGACATGTGCTGAATTTTATGAGAAGGAACTGGGCTGCTGAGTCATAAGTACGTCTAGACCAGGTTTCCAAATGGGACAATCCAGGTGTCTGTCAGGGAGCATAACTGGCCTGCAGTGGAAACTCCAGTTTTAGCCTGTGGAGCCTTTTACTTCTAATGTTACTGAGTTGGGCAGAAAGTAAGAGCTGATTGGAGATCTGCACAAAAATATATCCCTGCGTGTAATTAGAGGGGGAAGGTTAGGAAAATGCTTTACATAAAGGTCTACTTATTTATACTTCAAAAGAATTAAGGTCAGAACATTTTGAAGTTTTTTTTAGTTCAGTGCTTTCTTTTTGAGATGCTGAACCTATGTATTTTCAGTTTTGTTCTAGGTGCAGTCTCGCCTGCTGTGGTGGTTCCCTCCATGCTGATTTTACAAGCTGGGGGATATGGGGTGGAGAAGGGTGTCCCAACTTTGCTAATGGCAGCTGGCAGCATTGATGACATTCTGGCTATCACAGGCTTCAACACTTGCCTTGGGATGGCTTTCTCTTCTGGTATGCTGGTTAATCTGTAGATGATGAAATGCAGAACAGTGATATTTTGGAGAATGTGTGCTCTGTTATGGCTGACTGGTTTAATGGCATCTTGTTATAAAAGTCATGTATAGCCTTAAATACTGAGATGGAAATTACCCATGTTCAAAAGTTGGTGTAGCATGGTCAGCTCTGAGTTGTGGGTCACAACAACTTTTAGAGAACATTTTTCCCGGAGTGCTCCCTTACCTGCCAAGTCTGGGCCCTGCATGCCCAACATGATGCTTTGAAATTTCACTGGGTTTGGCAATGTTCTTACAGTGCCTTTTTCTCTGACTTCTCTTGCACACTTTCTTGGCATGAGCTTTCAGAGAAAGAAAGTTGCACCATCCAGTTCTTTCAGGCCCATAGGTTCCCTCCTGAACTCCTTTGCCCCGAGTAGTTTAAAGCAGACACTGTCCTGGAATCACCTCATATAGGTCTGGAGAGCATGGTTTGAGTGAAGCTCTGTGAATGGCATACTGAATGTGTTTTCCTTTTGCAAAATAGGTTCTACTCTGTACAATGTGCTCCGTGGAGTGCTGGAGGTCACTGTTGGAATAGCAGCTGGGGCAATTCTGGGAATGTTTATTCGATATTTCCCAAGCCATGATCAGGTAAAAACGTAGTTTAAAAAATATTACAATCAAGTGATTCTTTGCTAAGGGATTCTTTTCTTTAGTTATTAATTTCCAGCTTCCTATGAAGCTGGTTTTGGGGAAAGCTTTTTACAGTGTAGCAGCTTCCAGATTGCAAACCTATCAATTGAGGATGTGTTTTAAAGGTGATTATTTATCTACTGCACCAATAATAATGTATGATCTCGTAGTCCTCCCTGATGGAAGTTTGGAACCCAGCTCACCATCCTGCTCTCATTGAAGGTAGTGGAAATGGAGGAAGGGTCTGATACCCATTTCAGACAGTAAAATAATAATTTATTAGATTGATGCAAGACACATGTACTTCTTTAAGATGTATCCAGTAGGCCTAAGATTAAAAATTAACAAAGCAGATGTATTAGAGGTTTTAAGTGATTGATCATATTGTAAGTATTAATTACAATGTGTTACTTTCCATAAAAATTACATCTATAGAAAGTGTTAGATGAATTTTCTATTGAGGGGTAATTAAATGAACAGAAAATTGTGGAAGAATGTGGATACACTCTGGACTACCAAAGTCGATATTCAGAGCATCTATTGCCCTCAGTGGCATCAAATTTGTGATTAAATAATGTAAGAAGTGTGATACAAGAGCTAAAGAGTTAGATAGAAATGAGGAACAATGGCAGATAACTGTCTGCTGTGAGACCGAATGAAATAAAACTAATTATTCCTGGCAAATGTTTGACTTGTCCTTAAAAACATCTGGCAAAGATTTCACCTTTCCTTGGATAAACTGCTGTAATACTTGACTACACAGGTAGAAAATCCTGCTATCACAGAGCTGAGGCAGAGCTGCTGGAGCAGAGCATCATGTTCCTTGCAAGAAAAATAGCCTATTGGCAATAAAAATCTGGGTGTGCAGAGGGAAAAAAAAATATGTTTTCAAAATGTGTATTCTTAGGAATAAATGTCTGAAAAAAATCCTCAATCGAACTGAGCAGTTCAATTCTCACTTGGAAGCTTTGATTCCTTCAGAATTATTCATTTTTAATTTTCTTTTTAAGTTCTTACTTTCAAAATTCAGAGGAGTAACTTTTTTCCCCCATTTCTGAAAGAAATTCACTTTTTTGTTTGTCTCTTTCCTTGCCTACAGGCATCTTTGGCATGGAAGAGATCGTATTTTATACTTGGACTGTCCATGTTTGCTGTTTTTGGCAGCATCTCCTTCGGCTTCCCTGGATCAGGAGGACTTTGCACATTAGTCTTAGCTTTTGTTGCAGGTGTGGGATGGTCTGATGAAAAGGTGAATGTTTACATAAGAAGCATATCATATCCAAAGTCTGATGAATGTACAGCCTGACAGGAGCTTGAATTTCTGTCTGGAGTGGTAATGGTATATTGCTGAAGTGTTAGAGGGTGTACAGATTTAAAAAGCAAACAAACAAACAAGCAAAAAAAAACCCCAAAACCTCACCAAACCAAGCAGCACATTGTACATTTGTTTTGGAAGTGTTTAGCATTTTCTGTGACAGAAAGTGACCATGTGTGTCAGTAGAGCAATATGTATGCCAATACAGAGCCTGGTGTACTGACTGAGAAATGCTCAGCTTTTCTTAGACATCTTAAACCATATGAAGGAGACTTAACACTTGACAGTAGCAATCCAAAGCTTCAATTCCCAGTTCTGGGAGTGTCTGTACACAATCACTTTATGGTTAAGTTTACAAATGAGTGTCCAAGATGCAGTTGTGTACATGGCCTGAATACCCTGAGGGTTTGTTCCCTGTGGTTTGGAGGGGGTGAAATGAAAAGCAGTGATTTACTATCCTCTCTCATCTTTCCCAAATCTCAGCCCAAATTTGGATAACTTAGAGAGCAGGATGCACACAATAAATGATGATGTAAGGCCATAAAAAAACCATACAAAAGACTGCTTTTTAGTCACTTTCTCTTAGGCCTAGCCTACTTCATCTTACTGCTGCTGCCCCACTGCCTTTCCATACCTTGTCATGTCTGACTGCCTCTTTTGCTTGATCCCATCTACTTTAATGTTTTGAGGGCATCTTTCTCTCCACAGCTATAGCTGTGTGACATTCAGTAGAAGGAGGGGAAGAAAAAGGAAAGGGGGTTAGTTATAGTAGAGTCCATGTTATTATCCCCATCTTGACCCTGACTTTACAAAGATACCAAGGTTTGTTATAACAATGAAAAGGAACTAAGATTGTCCAATTTTAAAGGATGAAAAGCTCTTCTTGGGACTTAACTAGTTGAGGACATTACAAATGATAAAGCTCTCTACTGAAAAGCTTTTAAACCATTATAGGAGGAAGAACCTTAAAAAGAGTATATGCAGTCTGTAAAGGCTTAGTTTAAATTCTTTTAATCTGTGAATGAAGCTTCATGGCCTTAAGTATATTGATGTCAAATGCCTTAGCTCTTTTTTTCTCAGATAGGGATAGAGGTTTGTGTGTACTCAATATATTACCGAGGTTTTCCTGCTGAACTTCTCAAAGGCCACTGCCTCCCACTGTCCATGGTGGAAGGCACTTGACAAACACTGTCTACAGAGAACAGTGAACATTGGACCTATTCCTGGCACAGTCAAATGGGCAGTAAATAGGCTGAAATCACTAAAGAAGGGATTTCTGGGGGCTCTTTTTTATTTTTTTAAATTTAATTTTATTTTGCCAGAATTGAAAAGGGTGAAATAACAAGGGGAAATGAGGCCAAAAATGTTTATATATATATACACACACACACACATATATAGTTCCACCTCATTTTCTTTATGGTTACAGAAGTTTTTGTGTTACTGTAACCTACCATTCCTTGACAGAAGAGCAAGGTGTTACAGGATCAGTCCCAAAGAGAATACCAAGGATGGGACATGTCTAGGCCCTGGATTGATTATTAAGTGACAGAGCACTGCACCCATATTTTCCACACACTCCTGCCTGAAGGTTCATTTGCTATTGTAGAACCCACTTAATTGAAAGACAAATGCTATTTGATATACTATGTGTACCTTGTCATGTAAGTAAAAGATTCCTGTTTACCCTGGCAGCAGTTGTTTTAGGAAAATTATGTAAAGTTCAAACGTGAGGAGAAAAGATGGTTTTGCCTTTATACACTATATTGCAGTGGAAAGTTCATCACTTGTTCCTGCTGTGTGATTTCAGACTTGCTCAGGCTGACTTTGCTCCTGCTGACATGGAGAGGGGCCTCTGACTGAGTGTAGCACGAACAGAGGTCGTGACTGAAACTTGGGAGAGTCAGACTGCTCAGCTACAAATGGAAGAACATGTTTAGGCATGCAGTTCTCAAAGGCTCAGAAACTTAATGGCAAAGCTGTTGAAATTACATCTTTCTAAATACTGAAAATCAACAATGCTCTATTTTCTTCCTCTTGTCTGCAAACTGCTCTGTTACTGTTCAAACACCAGTGCTTTTTATTTCTCCTCTCAAGACATCAAACATTTATTTACTAGGACAGCCAGACTCAGTCTGACCTTCAAAAGGTGTGCAACTGATTTTGAATGTTTTAGTATTAGTTCAAAGAAAGAGGAGCAATTCTGGACAATCTTTATGAAACATTTTCACTTTGTCCTATGATTACTTAACTGTCATGTCTGCTTGGCCATCTTTTTGTGAATTTACAGATTTGTTTTGTTTTTATTGCAGAGAGAAATAGAAAAAATTGTGGCAGTTGCATGGAATATCTTTCAACCTTTTCTTTTTGGTTTAATTGGAGCAGAAGTATCCATTACATCTCTTAGGCCTGAAACTGTTGGTAAGATCATTCACAAATTATTATCATTCATTCATTTTCCAGCTTTCATTACTGGCTTTGAAAGAATCTCTATAAAGAAATCTAAAACAAAGAAGATTATGGCTGACCCCCCAAAAAAATCAAAAAGCCAGAAGCACCTATGCACAAAAGCACTGAGAAGTGTTTGTCTGTTGCAGGGCTCTGTGTTGCTATATTAGGCATCGCCCTAGTTGTGCGAATCATAGCAACGTTCCTGATGGTGTCCTTTGCTGGGTTTAAGTTCAAGGAGAAGGTATTTGTCTCACTGGCATGGATTCCCAAAGCCACTGTCCAGGTAAACTATCCAACATCACTTTCATTCCAGGCTAAATCTATTTTCTTTAGCAAAGCTCCCTAACTAGTGTAGCAGTAAGCGGGGAAAGGTTCAGGCTCAATGACAGCTGAATGTAGAATATTGACTGTTCATACTCTAAAAGACTCTAACTGCTTGAAAAGTGTGTGGAGAACCTTCTATGTGCAAGTGTTTTGCTTGCATCCTGGGCTTACTCTTTATAATGACAGTGAATTGTATATATACCACAGGTAATGTAACCACTTTTCAGCCACTGCTGATTATTGTGCCTTCACATACAGATTCTGAGAACTCTCAAAGGTAAAAGCATTTCCCTCTTACACATGAAGTATCTGCAAGGACAGTCACATCCAAACTCGGAATGGGTTTCGGTTTGTGATTATTTTGGTAAGGAGTAGTCTGAGAGTCATATTAACAGAGATGCCTCTGGCTGGCTACATTCCTGCTCCTTTATTTCAGTGATTGTCATGTCATTTGGACTTTGCCTCAATAGCATGATTACTTGCAAACAAAAGTTAATAACCAAAACAGGCAAGGCTTATTACATGATCAGTGATACAAATTTTCAGAAGCTTCTACTAGTTGACTATTGTCAGGATACATTCTCCAAGTGAGGCATTTTCACAACTGCAATACAAAGTATACTGGCCTATTTCATTAATCACACATTCCCCAGAAATGTGGATAAAATGGCAGCTAAGCAATGTTCTTCACAGGAGGAAGCCACACAGATAAACTCATTAGCTTAGGAAATTCCAAGCATAGTCAAGTGAAAATTGTCCTCATAGGTGTAATACAATGCTTGCTTCACTATGTACAGCCTAAAAACAGGTTGAATGCATTAAAAATGTCAAATTTCTGTGGAATGTTGACTAATGATTGAAAGGTTCGCTTTTTTCCTCATTCAGTGCTAAAGATTACTTTCTCCATCTCAGCAATGTTTTCTTCCCTGCAGGCTGCAATAGGTTCTCTTGCCCTGGATACAGCAAGACAACATCAAGATGAGCAAAAGGAGAAGTATGGAATGGATGTGCTGACAGTAGCTTTCTTGGCTATCTTGATCACTGCTCCAATTGGAGCCCTGGTTATCGGCTTGGCAGGGCCCAGACTTCTGCAGAAGGCTCAGACAAAGAGCAAGGAGGATGAGGAAAGTGCAGAGGTTGGAGAAGAGGCAGAGGCCTGTGAACCTTCGTAAGACAGACAACTGCAGCAGTCTGGTCCTTCAACCCTGACACTTCTGCTGTGTAAAGGTGGCATGTCTGATCTTGCTGGAGGAACCTAAAACTATCAGTCACCCCTGCTATTTTTAAAGCAGCCCTGGTGGAGTTCTATAAAATATTTTTATGTGAAGATGGTGCCTTGAGATGAAACATACAGTGAATAAGATGACCTGGCAGTGAGTCACTGAGAAGTTAGCAGTCAAGACTTACTTGAAATGTGTGGGTGGTGAGGCCAAGGAGAGGGTCAGAATTGTTGAGGTGTGGAGTGGAGTCATGAGGTAGAATATAAGCCAAAAAAATGGAGACTAATGTGAATAACTTCTTGATGGTTGAAACTGGGCTGTGAGATGACAAGTTATACAACTCAAAGAAAGCAACTTCAAAGTAAGTGGTTGTTGATACATAGTGAACAAGTCCTGCCATCAGTTAATTAGTGATTGGTGATTGATCAGTTGGTGATTCCCTCTCCTTCCTCAGTTGTGTTCCAAAACTTGCCTTTCCCTGTTGCTGTTCCTCCTCACAGCTGATGCGCTCTTTTGTGCCTTCAAGGACTGTCAGCTCTGCTCATACAGCAACTGGTACTTACAGGCTCAAAGAGACAGTTGGGGCCATCATAGACTGGTAATAAAGATGTTGGTGCCAGCAGAAAAAAGGACAGAGCCTGAAAATGAGATGAGGGTTGTGGGATGGCTGTGTAAGGACTGGGGGAGGGTTGTACGGGATTGGGATGGCTGCTTCTTCACCTGTGTACCTCAGCCTTCACACAACATGATGTCAAGAGAGACATGCTGTTCTACAGCCAGGAGTAACCTCTGTTGATCAAAATCCTACTCTTGCCTTTTAGGTTTGGTATCACTTGACAGATAACAGCAAATCTGTCTGGCTTCAAGGAAGTTGTTGTTAACTCCATTCTGAGGCACAGGGTCAGTACAGCATCCCTCAAAAACTGGAAGTTACTGTGTTATTTTTTGGAAAGGCTATTAGATTGTGCCTGTAACTGAGGTGGGCAACACTCTCCTGCAGATTGCTACACTACAGTTCACTGAACTCATTTTACCGCATCCTGTGTAGAATAAATTTGATGGTGTCCGGGTTTTGGCATTAGTAAGAACAAATAATTTCTATTTTGGCTTTTAAATTGTTAATATGCAAAACAAAAAAAAAAAGTACAAAAATACTTTTAACTACTTAAATACTTCTAATGTTGACACTGTACTATTTGCAGGTAAGCTCTATATGTAGCTATACAGATGAGCTGTATATGTAGCTGTACGTGCATGCCTTTATATAAGCCTTACTCTCTAAGCAAAAAGAAAACTTCCTGAGAAATACTTCAATTTCATAGCCTGCAGTTCCAGCACAATGAAAAAATGTCAGGAAATTTATCTGTTAAGTTTTCCCCTAACAGTTATCAAGTACATTATATTTCTCTTAACTGTGCACACTGCTGTTCTCTCTGCTTCCTCGGGAACGTACCATCTTCAGTTCAGTTCAAGTTTGTCTCCTGATCCGAAAGGAAGATGCTTTCAAACTGCACCTGATGGGTTTGAAGCTGGAGCAATGGTTAAGGGTGCTGTGCTTGGTCTTTATTGTGACATACCTGGCCTTCTGTGCCTGTTCTGACTACTTCACGTGCACTCCTGGTGTCTCCCTGGCCCGATCCTGTTCAGTATCTTTACTGATGATCTGGATAAGGGGATTGAGTGCACTCCCAGCAAGTTCGTGGACAACACAAAGTTGGGTGGCAGTGTTGATCTGCTGGAGGGCAGGAAGTCTCTGCAGGGGATCTGGACTGGCTGGATCAATGGGCTGAGACCAGCAGAATGAGTTCAACAAGGCCAAGTGCTGAGTCCTGCCCTTGGGTCACAGCAGCCCCAGGCAGTGCCACAGGCAGGGACAGAGTGCCTGGGGAGCTGCCCAGTGGAAAAGGACCCGGGGTGCTGGTGACAGCAGCTGAACATGGGCCAGGGTGTGCCCAGGGGGCCAAGAAGGCCAAGAGCATTGTGGCCTGTGTGAGCAGTGGTGTGGCCAGCAGGAGCAGTGACTGTCCCCCTGTACTGGGCACTGGTGAGGCCACAGCCCAAGAGCTGTGTCCAGTTCTGGGCCCCTCACCACAAGAAGGACATTGAGGTGCTGGAGCGTGTCCAGAGAAGGGCAGTGGAGCTGGGGAAGGGTCTGGAGCACAGGTCCTGTGAGGAGTGGCTGAGGGAGCTGGGGGTGTTTAGCCTGGAGAAGAGGCAGCTCAGGGGGCGCCTGACTGCTCTGCAGTGCCCTGACAGGAGGGGGTAGCCAGGTGGGGGTCGGACTCTTCTGGCATGCAGCCAGTGACAGGATGAGAGGAAATTATCTCAAGCTGTGCCAGGAGAGAGTCAGGTTGGATGTTAGCAAGAAATTCTTCACAGAAGGGGTTGTTAAACAGTGGAATGGTCTGCCCAGGAAGGTGGAATCATCTTCCCTGGAAGTGTTTAAACAAAGACAGCACATGTCACTGAAAGTCGTGGTTGACATGGTGGTCATAGGTTGGATTCAGTGATCTCAGAGGTCTTTTCCAACCTCATTGATTCTATTTTGTGAAATGCATGTAGTTTTAATAGGAGGTTAAGTAATTGGAAATTGTAATGTTGGTAAAGTTAACGGACAAGGTGAGGAAATACAGTGTGCATCAGTAGCTGTCTATAAAATAGTTCTTCTTGAGTAAAACTTAAAGGAGTTCACTTTTTTGCAAAGCTTTATAAAAAGTAGAATCCTCACACAGGGATCACTATGCCAAATTTAGAATGTGTTCAATAACAGAAATGTGATGTTGGAAGGACTACAGCCTTTTAAATTTGGACACAACCTTAAGTACAAAAGCAAACCTCTGATGAAGAGCTCTTGTTTGTGATAGCCTCTAATACTTCCTCCCCAGCAAAACAGCATGTCATAAATGGGATTTGCCTGTTCCTGTAACCTCAGTGTGCTCTCAGTTATACATTAGATCACTTCCACAATTCTGAGTGCCTGAATAAGCTATACCAATGAAAACTTCCCATCTTTTTTGTTAATCTAAGTGAGATTGAATAGATTTTTCTTTCCCTGCCATTTTATGTCCATATTTCTCATGAGACCCCCTTTCCCCCAGCTTTTATTAAATCTTCAAAAAGTATCAGGTTGGAGCTATTATAGGGACCTGCAGATCTAAAATTAAAAGCTTTAATGCTTTATAATGTTCCCTCTCCTTATCTTCCAGAAAGAAAACACTTGCATCTTTTCATTAAATGATATGTCAGGATTAAGAACTTAAGAGACTGGGGTTTTTTAGTAAGTATCACGACAGTTTCAGCTGCTTTTGAATAGCAAGTAACTTTGGGATTAGATTTCAGTTTTTATCAGAGTACGAGTGAAGCCTGACATTAAAGAACACCTCCTTTTTAACAAAAAGCCTTGAAAATCGTTACTGAATAAGGCATAAATTCAAGCCAATTAAATAATTATGCCATGGTATTCTCTTATTTGCAGGAAATAAAATAAGAGCACAATGTGCAGTAACTGATAAGCAGAGTCCCGCTGTCATGCAGACATAATCACAGGCATAGTGTGGGGGAAGTCTGAGTGTGCTGTTCCAGAAGGTTCACAAGAACCTCTGCAGCAGAAAGGTCTGACAGCAGAAAGTGTTCCCAGCAGCCAGCATCCAGCAGTTACAGCAGGCAGCATATGGGAAAAGACAGAAATTGTCTATCTGCAAGCAGGGAGTCCAACAGGCCAGGGAATGTGATGATGATGTGATTATAATCACTGCTTACTCTCTCTTTTTCAGCCAAACTGAGCTTTTTATGGAATTTAAACTGAAGTCTAAAATTAACTGTGAAAGAGTCATGGTGTAATACAGCCACAAAATGGATGATAGTTTCTGTATCTTGGTTTTTAAATAAAGAGTGCAAGAGACCAAATTTTTGGTCAATTGCACTTCAGTTACATTTGTCTAGTAGTTGCCCCAAGTCAGACACCTTTCTCCAAACCTATTTTACAAGTTTATTTGTATTCTATTATAACCATGTTCAAATTAATTATGAAAAGAAAGGAAAACATTGCTGTTCTTGTAAATAGGTGTCACAAAATGCCGATTTCAATTTCCCCAGATTTTCCATCAACATTGAAGACCTGGTCCTATGACCTCTGTTCCAGTCTTTACTGGTATTTAGGGCAAATTTATTTCTGTGTATGGAGCTTCCCAAGTAGATTAGAAAAGTCAGGTAATTAGTTCAGCTTCTCAGTTGCTGGTGAGACACAGAGCTGTACGGGCACTTCAGCTTTTAGCTATCTATCTCTGACTTCAGATGGAAAAGATTAGTAAATTCTTTGAGATTTTCTATAGGAAGTTCTGTGGACATGAGAGAGTATTACCTTGACAGATTTTGAAATCCAAGGAAATTATGATTTATCTTGCTTGTGATTCTCATTAAATTATCTTGTGGAAATTATAAAATGTGCTTTCTACAGAAGAACTGTGACTTGCTCTTGCAACACTACAAATTTGTTCCATGCCCTTACAAATATAAGCACAAACAAAAAAACTGTCCCTGTTTATCCTATAGCCATGTCTGTAGATTGCTGTTAAACTATCTCATCTAAGAGCAAGTAGGGAGAAAAAAAATAATTCCATCTCTAACACAGCTTGATTAAGTAATGAAGAGGTTAAACCTTACATTGTTCTTCTCTTCAAGGAGTTTTTTGGGAGAAACAAAACCATGTTGCTGTATTACTCACTTTAACAAGGTTTCCCTTAATTTAACAGGTTTGGTTGTGATTTCAGAGGAAACCAATCTGTTTGAATACAGAAGTATCCTGGTAAAAGCTGGAAGCACATACAGCCCTGTGTCTAATAAGTCTGCTACAGTAGACTGGTTTTTAAACCCTGAAAAAATTGTCAGAGACAGGGCTTTACATTTCACAGTAAATTCTTCACCAAACCCAAGAATTGGGGATTGATATTCTATATACATCTATAAGTGAAAACAGTATAAGACACTTACCTTTATATATTTTTCCCTGTTATAAATGTTTATATCCTAATACATTTATGGTTTACTCATCCATTAAGGCAAGACCACCATGAAGCATTTAAACAATAAACATTATACCATGGTTCTGTTCCACACTTTATAAAAGCAGGCATTTAACACACAGTCACATCCTGATCTGCCATCTTTTGCTGCAAAGCAAGAGGTTTTGGAACCTAGAACTACAACTGTCACAAATGGAGGAGGAATGATCTACCTTAACTCTGCTGCTGCTGCAAGAGCCCTTATGGGTGAGAACAGCTTTCTGACTCGCTTTCTGTTTCAGCACTCTGGTGATCAGCTTTGGCAACAGCTCTGGGGCTTCCCACCTAACAAAGGGTCAAATAAAATGCTGTTAAGGAATGGGTGAGAATCTGTCATGGTACCACTGTCTGAAACTGGAGCATGGACCGAATTTTTATTTTTAAACTAATGGATACACTATTTCGTGGGAGAATTAAGCACTTTAGAATAATTAATTAGAAATCCAGATGTTAGGTAAGTAGTAATTATCTGCATCTGAATTTAAGCCTCAACACAGCAATGTTCTGACTTGCCTAAATAATAATTCTGAATGAGTAACAAGCCAAGAGAACAGCTCAACTCTGCATCCTCACTTATGTCTCTTAACCCATTCATCCCTTGAAAATTCCCAATGCAAAAAGTAGTGACTGTAATGCAAGGGGGAACTTGCAGGAGACAAATTTGTGTTTCCTTACCACCAAAACAGGGCCCAAAATACAGGGTTGATGGTGGTGGGTGACCTGCTCAATAATTTGGTTTATATACGGCCTGCAACTGCCAGCACTCCACTGGGGATGCTGTGTGAAACTTTCCAGCAGTGTGGGGTTTGTCTGAGCTGGGCTGCTTTGTCTAAGACCAACAAACTGCCCACTTAGACACCATGCAGGCCAGACCTTCAGCTAGCATGACTTAACACTGATCTGCTGCCTGAAAATACATTCACAAAGGAGAAAGTTGGCATCTTTTTCTCCCCCACTTAAGTACACTTAAATTTGTTCCTGAAAAGCTGAGTAAAACATGATTTCTCAGCAGAACAAATTCAACAGAAATGTGCACTTGAAATAGTGACAGTTTTATAATTGTATGTTCATACAAAAAAGGCTTAGTTGTAGAAAGTCAATTTATTATTGAAATAAACGACTTATTTACAGAGATAGGTACTTTACAGTTTTACAAAGCAGGCAAAATTCTTCTCAGAATAAGGTACCAAAACAGTGACAAATTCATCACTGTCTAAATGCAATTTATTCCAAAAAGAAATCTACAGCAATCATGAAACTAAATCATACCAGTCACATAACAAAATGCTGTCCCTTGCAACTACAACAGTATAAAAGACTTTTTATCAGTCATGATCTAGATTAAGCATCTGCTATACTTCTTTCTTCTTGAGTATTAGTGGACCTACATTATCTCCTGTTAACTCATTGTGCTTGTTGTGGGAGCCATCACAGACAGGGAACTGAAAAATAAAAACCAAAAAGAAGGAATTAGCATAATTCTGTACAGCAGTTGCATGGTGATTTCTGTATTAAGCCCTGAGTGCTCTGATAATGTTGCTAGTTCCTCCTGTGATGTCCTGGTTCAACATCAAACTCCCTGTCCCCTATCAGACACAGGATACTAAGGGCAACAAACACAGTTAATGGGTAACTAAGTTTGGGAGATCCTAAAATAGCTGTTCTTAGACACACAGTCAGGGACAAAGCCTTTTCCATGAAAGAACAGCAAACAAAACAGCCATCACAGCTACAAATGGATTTACTGTGCAACTATTGAGAGTGCTCTTAATCGATTTAGTAATTTGCAGCTAGAAAGTACTTTTTTAAGAGAAGCTGAAATACTTGGCTGAAGTGATTAGTCCAAAGTGAGAATAGCTGAGTTAAGCTTTTTCAGTTCAGGGCAGACTTTATTGTTTTTATTAAAAAAGGAAAGCATTTGGTCCAGGGAAAACAAAACCAGACTGTGGTCAGGACATTTAAAATTGAATCAGGAAATGAAAATTGAAGCAAAATGAAATACACTTGTTTACATCTAGCTGATTTGGGGGATATGGAATATCCCAACCAGTCATCTCACTGCTCTGGCCCAGACAGGAATCACCAACACAGGCCCAACCTTATTTTCACTGTAATATGAACAACTTTCTAAGCATTGTTCTTTGCAAA